AAGTAATTGTTACAGATAATGTAACACGAAACTATAGATAAGAAATTGTTTTTTTATTTAGATATATTTGTTTAAATGTTGATGGAGTTGGTTTGTTAACATGTAATCAAATCTATAATTTGCGAAGTACAGTGTTTATATACAGGTATATATAATATTAAATATAATGTCAAATGTATTTAGCGGGCATACAGTCATGCAAATATTAGACTGATTTATTAAATTGTATTATTTAAAGAAAGATTTAGTGATATTTAAGTATGAGCTCTACTTTTTCATGGTACTTACATAGGAAACGTAACTGGCAACATTGCTCTAAGATATGGAATAACAACAACACAGTGCAATCACACCTAATTAAACGAGTTTTTGTCATAAAAACTGTACAATTGCTTTCCCATGCGTTCTACTAGATACAGTTCTGTCTGAGCGAGCACTTTTTATGGTATACAACATAATTTACATAAATGTAACTTATCAAATTGCACACTGATTGTAATGTTATGTGTCACTTGTCACAGATCATAGATCTAATATTACAATTTACAAACACGTATATAATTTAAACGTGGGAATTCTTCTCTTGTAAATTAAATATGCGGGTCGGACAACCTTCTAGTATGTTCCAGCTTTGTAAGGTCCCCCATCGGTGGATGAGCAACGTTTGGTTCTGACGCATCCCGGTGCGTCTCCACCACGGTAGGACGCGAGGCGGGGAAACTGAGTACAGTTACCCCCACGCGGGAAGGGCCCGCTTTCAGTGAACTCGTTATCGCAGACCAGGCGTTATGGCGGCGAGGAATAATGCTGTAGGGTTTTTAGTAAGTAGGAGTCTCACATCCGTCCATCTTCCGATCCAATCGTAGGATTTTCCCCACGTTAAAAAAACGTCTTAGCGGTGTAGAGACATTTTGATCAATAAATCCATTCACTTGCTATACCTACTAATACTGCCTACTAAGCGATAAAGAGATTATTAATATTGAGGCCAATGCCATATTTCTAGGAATATACCCAATGAGGTCGGACCCCACGTGCCCCGCCAGCGCAGGGCGGGTGCACCATTATCATCCACTAAAAAATATATCTACTATATAAGTAGATATATTTTTTAGAGCAGCTTATGTATATACATAAGCTGCTTTTTAATGGACAATTAGATACATACATACATTATTTTAATCAATTGAATATCTATTCCGTATCCGTAGTGTGACAAAATATTTTTATATATTAACGTAATATATAAAAATCTTTTGTCACAGTGTTTATTATCAAACTCCTTCGAAACGACTTGACCGATTATTATATTTTTTTTAGTATATACTGGTTAGTAGTTTGTAAATAGGTCGTAAACTATTTTTTATACTCCTAACTCTATTAAGAAATAATTTATGTGGCAAAACAAAGCTTGTTGAGTCAAATCGTACTTTTGTACTAGAAACTAGATATTATATGTTATTTATTGTGTTTTTAAATTATTATAATTATGACACAGAAATAACAGTTACATAAACCATTGAGTCAAATATACTTTTTTATTACAAAATGTGTGAAATGATAATAAAAACATACATCATTATATTTATGTAGGGTACGTTACGCGGACTTTCATTTGAAAAGTAAAATTTTTTAAAGTTGCTTTCGTTTACTTTAGGTTTTCGTTTTCTTTTAGAATAGTTTGAAAAGTTTACTAAAAAAACAAAAGTTTCCAAGTTACCTACAATATCTATAGAAGTGTAGTTACATACATATCTATTTATCTATACATATAAATAAAATTTGAGTCTCTGTAATATTGAAAATGTTACAGAGAATATAGAAATAACCGTTTTTTAATACATGCATATGAATATAAATACGGTACATACACCAAAATAAGATTTTCTAGAATTTTTGTCCGTCTGTCTGTTTGTTCCGGCTAATCTCTGAAATGGCTGAACCGATTTTGACGGGACTGTTTTTGGCAGGTAGGTAATAAGTAGTAACTTAAGCTACTTTTATTTTAGAAATATAAAGTTAAATTCCACACAGACGGAGTCGCGGGATCAGCTATATAATATATATATATATATAAATAGCAACAGCTCAGTAAGAAGTCTTTGACACTCTTGGTCGGTCACCTACATTCTACAGTGATCAAATCAACCGGGTTATTATAATTTCTATGAAATGTCCAAAACAAACTAAAACTGTTGTCGTATCGGCATGTGTTTACGATTTATTATGTAATTAATGTACACCTATTATGTAAATTGAAGATATCATAATATATATTTAACATTTGTATGTGTCCAAGAGATTTTTTTATAGTATAGGGGGTAAACGAGCTTGCGGTTCACCTGATAGTAAGTGTTTACCGCCGCCCATGAGCACCCGTAACACCAGGGGAATTGCAAGTGACTTGCCGGCCTTTTAAGAAATAGTAGGCACTTTTCTTGAAGGTTTCCGAACCAATACTATATTCAATATCATATCAGTTCGGAAATACTATTCTTGGAAGGTGATTCCACAATGTCGTTGTATGTAAATATACCTATATTTATTTATTTGTATTTTTCTATAGGTATAAATTAATATTTTACCATTTACTATCATGAAGATTATTTACTTCTTTGTTAAATTATTATTCTCATGTGTTCCTTTCTTTGCTTGTCGCCCACAATTCCACAATTACTTCAGATACTAAAGTTACCGTGATAAAATTGCTTTTAGCAATAAGCCCGCCGTATTGTTAAAAGCAATAATAATATTTATACAAGTTTGTTGAATAATATTTACTTATTTAATGTATAATACAAACAATATCATAATCTGTCTAGCTATCTATATTTTCTTCAAAAAATTCCAAATTTTACAGTCAATAGAATAGTCAGTAAATAATTGAAGTAAATTTAATCACTTTCGACGGCTAACACTGACTACCATTTTATTTCCGGCAAGTTGTTTTATAATTTTAAATTTCTTGACGTATAAATAGACGAAGAAGTTAATAACTATATAGGTACTCGTATGTATTTCCTTTTATTTTATGAAGTGTACTTAAAAGCAGGTTTTCGTATATCCTAATTATTAATCTGTACTTTAATAATAGCACAGATAATATATTAATACATAGTAATAGTGTCTTGGTAGATTATCACCTTTATTTTCATTATACAAGTCTTTAATTATTGTTTTAATTTTACAATGATAAACTGCAAGTAATGAATGGATGTAGAGAACATCTACTTGGACTACACATTACATTGCATCTATTTAAGTCAAGAGATCACTATACTAGAGGATAATCATTATCTCAGCTAGAACCATTTAATCACACTCGATTGAGAATAATAATAGCCAGTTTACAAAATATACCCTGCTAAAAAAATATTACACAGCTTTATAGAAAAATAATATTGTTGTAAGTGATGGAAGACTAATCAATATATTAATTTACTACGAGCACCTGACTATTTAACACCTACTCAATGGTATTTAAATGTTATTCATTGTATTTCATAGACATTTTTTCCCATATTCGTTTATATTTCATAGCTAATTTTTACTTATTTTAAGCTGAATTTACTAATTAAGCTAAAATGAGACAAAGGAATCTTACCCGAAATTTCCAGGATAGCAGATTGGATATCGCCTACACGCGTGAATGCTTTGTGCTTTCTTCCCACTGAAATGTTGCCCACCATTGAAGATCACCTCGGAGCAGCACGGAGACGAGCATCTGCCACTGTCCGAGCACTCTGAACCACAACATGACCTCGAGCCGTCCGTAGTGTACCAATATTCATCACACGGCAGAGAATATCGCCACTCTGGCGTTTGATCCCTATAGCTGTATCTCTGTTCCCAATGCATTGCATTCACGTCGGAGCATCTTTCGACGTAAGCGCCTGTCAACTGCTCCATGTACTGCTTATAAAGACGCTTCTGGCGTTGGCTCTGTGAGACATGTAACCGGAGAACGTTGAGGAAGCACATCTTTAGATTACGCAGGACTCGGCTAAATGCGCCAGCACTCTCCACCAGCCTGTACGTAGGCATGTGCCCGACTACCCGAAACGGCGGACGTAACGCTCGCGGAATCTCAGAGAAAACCGAGACATTTTACTATCGCTATTTATCTGTAACGCGAATACTTCGTTAGCAAGACATTCCAGCGTGATTTACTAGACGATTTCCCATGCGAATCCGAAAGGTCGATAAATCACATATTTTGATTACAGATTAATCAATACTTATGCAACAATATTCATTTGATAAACTTTTCATAAAAAAAGTTTACAATGAAATTGACTATGACTACTAATATTTTTTATCTGTGAGAATTACATTTTAAAAATCCCGCCAAAAATGACAGTCACTATCAAATGGAAGCAATATAACGCGCGTTAGCGCGCGTCGTGGCTGCCGCTACACTGCGCTGGCCAGCAACGATAGCACAACCGTAATCATACTCTCTTTACGTTAATTTAACTCGCATTTCCCCGAGAGTTGAAAAACAGAACTGTTTATGGAGAAAATACGCCAAGACTGATAATAATTAGGGTCATAATTTGTTACGGCAACAGACGCTCCATTTTATCTGTCATGCCGAAATTTATTATGTCCAATTAGATGTATTTAAATGGTGATTGGGCGATAATTATAATATTTTATTATTACGTGATATACAGTTTTCAATTTTTTATTATTTAAGTCACCTAGGTATTACTGAGAAACTCAATTTATTAAGCATCACCTTACCTGCTTGGTTGTCATAGCAACAATAAAACATCACAAATCATATAAATCAGCATAGATAATGTAAACAAACAAGTCTTGCTGATTGAAATAGGTTAATCTCTTTATTTACGATAAGAATTTAGAATTAAAAACCTAAACACACAGGTAACACAACTTCAAGAATAAGTAATATTGATGAAATTGACTTGTAATAAAGTCACAATCCGTCAGTGATTAAATGTCAATGCATTTTGTATTGTTTGAAAGCTATTAACTTCCCTAAATTTTAAATATTTTTTATAAATAGGTAAATAAATAAAACATGACAATAATTTTAAAACTTGTGATGAGTGGTGAATTTTAAAAACATATTACATAAATGGATCGTGCACAGTTACAATTCCAAAACGTCGAAAAATATGATTTAAAACTAAAATCGAGACCTAAGGATGGGGTGATACTGCAATTACACCATACAGTTCGTGATTCCAACGGTGAAAATCGGAGGATTCGATTCTCGTCTGGTATATTCAATGATTTGCATGAGAAACTAGCGTGTGCTGATAACATAGGTAACGTTTTTGTTTTGGATTTCACGGATCTTAAATTCTGGAAACTAAGCAACGTAGGAACTTGTACCGCATTACAATTTCTTCCCAATAAAGATGACATTTTAATTATTGCTAGTTCAAAAAAATATGATATAAACTTTTTGGATATCGATAGTGGAGAAACTACCTTAACTTTGACCGGTCATACGGCACCTGTGAAACACGTCTCATTTTCTAACAGTAAAACTAATAATTTGCTAACTGCTAGCCCTGTAGAAGCTATATTATGGGAACGTCGAAATTACACGAAATACTTTACTCTAAACACGTACTTAGGTGCACAAATTCAGCAAATAATGTTCACACCGGCCGGTGATTATCTTGTAGCGTGCTTTCAAAATGACACTGTGCAGATATGGAAAAATGAAACTATGAAATCAGTGAAGCAGATTATACCAAGTGAATTAAAACATTTGAAGAATATTGCTTTCACTATGAATGGTCGAGCGATGGCTATGGCGGGTCTGACACCAATGTTAATATTATTTAGCATGGATACATGGAAGGCTTTAAAATCAATTAATTTAACAAAACACAACATAAGCGGAGCCCAACAAATAGCTTTTATACCACAAATATTTGACGGCGGTGCTAATAAAATCCTTGCTATATTAAGTAGTGACTGCAATCTTCATTTATTGGATCTGGAATGTTTAAATGTTATACATAGTATATGTCCAGAGTCGTCTTGCATAAAAAGATTTGTTGTAAGCCCTACCGGAAAATATTTTCTTTGTGTTTTACAATTAGGAGAAGTAAATATTTACAACTCTTCATATGTAATGGATTTAACGCAAAATTTCGCCGATATAAAGAAACCATGTACGTCGACGCAAAAATTGATTAGCCAAGAAATATCGCCTTCTAAAGCTGAAGTAGAGCAAAAGATGCGGATATGCATGGATAGTGCAAGATTAAGAAGAATTTTGATGCAATACGGCGAATACCCGGACAAGTTTAGATCAGTTATATGGAGATCCCTTTTAAATACACCAAGAAATAAGAGTGCGTATTCATCTTTAATTGATAAAGGTATACATCCAGCTTACAAAGACATCGAAAAACAGTTTACTATTCACAGTTCTGTTACACTTAAAAGTTTAAAAAGACTACTGTCTTGCCTCGCACATTGGTGTCCATTATTTGGTGTAATGAAATTTCTTCCAGCGTTTGTTTTCCCATTCGTCAAAGTATTACAAAAGGATCCTTTACTGTTATTTGAATGTGTAGCTACAATATTATTGAATTATTGCCAGCTTTGGTTTGAGTATGCACCATTTCCTCCAATTAGCATTTTAGCTATAATTGAAAACATCGTATCCGACCATGATGTGCATCTCTTAAATCATTTCTGTGAAATTGGCATCACAAGTCAAACATATGCACTTAAGATATTAGAGACAGCTTTTAGTGAGGTATTAACATGTTCTGAATGGCTAATTCTTTGGGATCACATACTGAGTAATGAACCAGCCTTCATTGTAATGGCAGTTGTGTCATACAATATAGTGCAAAGAAATGCAATAAAAAGATTGAAAACTCATGAACAACTGGATAACTTTTATCATATGCAAAATCCTATAGATAAAAAACATTTCTTAAAGAAAGCTTATGTTTTGTTGAATGATACTTCTGAAGACATACATCCAAAAAGATTTTTTAACAGTTTTATATCACTGGATAAAGGAGATTGTTATCAACAATTTACTGGTTATCCAAAAGCAACTATTTGTATGAAGTTAGCTAAGAAGAGTAGAAAAATTAAATCGCAAAATGATGGAAGTACTCTAAAAGAAATGACTATAAAAAGTCAAGAAAAACAAATCAACGAAATATTAAATAAGGACGAGGATAATGATGAAGAAAAATTTAATAGTGACGAGGAAAATTTCAATGAATGTATTAAAAATCATAACAAACATACTTACGATTTACAAGACAAAGGAGATTTTTGTATAAAGCAAAACATGAATACTGTAGCATATCCTACAACAATTCATTTACAGCGAAACGTGGAGCAAACTGATACTAAATCAAATAGAAAAGATAATATATGTAAACATTCAACAAGATTAAAAACAAAGAAAAAGTGTAATGATAAAAGGAATGATAATTTAGAAAAAGAAGTAGCAAAATTGATTAAAACGTATACGAACTCTGATTTATCTGATTCATAATTTTACATCCAATGTATTATAGTGCAATAATTTTATTGTACAATAGATTAAGAAATGAAAGAATTGATGTTAGTTTCATAAAAGATTCTTGTATTTATTTAACATCTGTTTTATTAAAATAAACGTGTTTTCTTAATTTCGTTGGCTTACTCTTTTTTTAAGGGTTTTGGTATAGTTGATTTGATATGACTAAATTTCTTCTTAGCTGAACTAATGTTAGGACTAGATACCAAATTACTTCTGGGAGAAAGAACTGGCACTACTATTTTTGGCCGAAATAAACCTGAAAGTAAAAAAAATCATAATTGAAACGGCATCAGAACAAAAATATACATTGAGGGTATTTGAATCTATGTGGATATAATTTTTTAACAAATTTTCATTTTTTATAGTGTTATTTCTCATATTTATTATAATAAAAGTATTAAAACATACTTTTATTGATTAAAATGCAAAATAAAAAATCCGATTTTAGATTCCGATTTTATATTTACATTTATTTGCAAATTCGTTTCCTTACTGTTATTTAAGCTGAATAATTTTATGTGTAAGTAAATTAGAATGATTTTATTATATATAAGGACTCGCGAAATTCTATATCTAATTTAAAATTCTCTCGAAAGGAAAACGTACTGTTTAATTTACTGCCTTTACTATCTGGTGCTTTAACACTAGTTTTTATACTGGAACTGTGTTTCTTGCTTTTGAATAGACTTGGAGATAGACGACGCAAACGCGAAGGTTTTCCGTCCCCACTGGGAGACTGTTGGGATGGACCCAAATTAGATGTTGAAGCACTCTCAAAACGCTTGAGATGACTTTTTGGAAAGTCTTCTTGTACTGAATCCAGACCGGATAGATTCGGGCTGGAAGCGAATTGTGCCCTTGATATTTCACCCTGAAAAAATATGTACAACTTGTTTATCTACAGCTACGAGGTACATATTTATTTTTTCGTAAAACATCTAGCACAGAGTAATAAGAATTTATGAAAAAAAGCATCAATATCTACCTTCAGCACAGATATTTTAGATACATCTAAAACCATTGATGACATAGACGAATTATTCTTTCCTTCTTCCATGAATTCTCTAATGACGGCCGCTAACTTATTACGTAGATCTTCAGCTACTTTTTCTATAGCTAGTAAACTGTCGAGAACGTTACTTTGACTCTGTATCGGGCTGAAATCGGATAAGGATTACTTATATCAGCATTTTACATCTATATCTTGGAAGTATTCAACCTTACTAATATTATAAACGCATATGTTTGTTAGTACTGATGGATGGATGTTTGTTCCTTTTTCACGTAAAAATACAATAGATTTATAAATTATATAGTTTATACATGAGAATAATACATAAGTTATAAATTTTTCGCGAGTGAAACCGCGGGCACTACTTATCATCAAAAAACTAGGTATGCAGTCGTATTGCCTGCATGATTAATTTAATAATCATTAATAAATGATCTTCCTTACTTTTTGTTGGTAAGCTAGGCCGATGATTTCATGATTCCTAAATATATATTTGCCCGAATGTCATTAACTTCCTTTCATTCTCTTAAATATAACATGTATGTGATGAAGAATTATATAACCTAATAATAATATAAAATTCTCGTGTCATAATTTTAGTTGTCATACTTCTCTGAATCGGCGTAACAGATTATGGTGAAATTTTAGATCGATCTGATTTTAGGTAGATGTGAGAATAGAAGAGAGAGATTAAAGTGGCCCACCCATAACCAAAAAATATACTCGTTATAATAAGATAGGCATTAGTACTAAACTCACCTGGAGGTTTTATTTCGTCGTACGCTGCCAGGCGTCGAAGATATAGTATATGTACTCTGCCTGCGACACATCATCTAAAACACAGCATGACAAAATAATACAAAAAAACTCCTAATTAATTGCAAACTATTTGTCTATACAATACATGTAAAAAAAAAAAATCACAAGACAATCGCTACACCGCGCTTCTAGTAAGCCACTAAATCTTTTGTTATGGGTACTAGACAACTGATATAAAAACATTGATACATTTTTTGGTAAATACAAACATAATATACATAGAAAACACTCAGAAATAAACAATCACACTCATGAATGAATTCTTCGTACGGTACAAATCTTTGCAAGATTCGAACCCGTGACCATCAGAATTAAAACTAAACCGCTAGACAATTCGTATATTTCACTACTGGAACTATTGCAATTTAATAGATGACCTATTATTGACATCTACGGTAAAACAATATTTATATGCACGTTAGATCTGTTCTAGGGTAGGCCGTCATTCGAATGTAGGTAATAAACTTACGCATGACTCAACTAGTCATGTTTCAATTAATTATTACATAATGAGAATGAATGATTTCATAAACAGCAACACGCTTTTCTACTCTCATCTCTTCTTGTGATGAAACATCTTTCCGAATGAGTGGTAGTTAAAAAAGTATGACTATTCAAAAGGGCTTCAATATAAGTTTATCTCTGAACCGCGGTATATGCTGAAGTGGCATTACTTAATCAAGATGGTTTCCAATGAAACCGACATTCATACCGGTTCCAGCGATTCTTGGCTCTTTCATCAGAGAACACACGGTCTATTCCATTATGTCAAAGTTTCCCCCGATATTTAATTCTTTCACTTTCGCATTACACTTAAATCTGTTTTCAATCTTTCAGCTGACATTCTCGGCGCGTGCCCGAACCAACGTAGCATGCCCTTTCTCATTTTTACACCGACACTTTCATTCAAACTGCTTCGACTAACTTATATATTTCTGTATTAAGAATGTTATCTACTTAAATTCTTATACCATGTAAATCTGTTTAATAAAACCATTCTTTGAGATTTTTTTCAGCTACAAAAGTTAATCAATCATGTAATGAGATCAACGTATATAACGTCAAAGATCGGAAAAATAAAATACCTAAATATTAGCCCCGATATATACTATATATGAGTATATATACGGAGCACTACGGTGTCTTACATCTTTACCCTGTAATTTCACTGGCTTATGTCACCCTTCAACTGAACCACATTTATAAAGCAAGCTGCTTGCGTTAGATATATCTGGCGCCATCTGTATCTCTGTCTCACTTATTTTTACATCCAAGCAGCTTGCTTTGCAAATTATAAAATATTTTACGCTGAGGGGTGAGATAAAGCAGTGAAATTGCGGCGTACGGTCCGGAATGGCAATGTTAGATGTTTTTCAGGCATAAAGGAGTTTCCGTCAAATGACCCTTCAGCTTGTTTAGCATTCCAGGTGAAGTATTACATACCTTATTAGAAATATTCCTGCCTTCACTAGCATTGTTTGGCGTGTGCCTCTGCAATGGACCTGGGTCCGGGAAAGGCTGCTCAGCGTTCCCCTTCACATTGATTAGAGCATCCAACGACCGATAACGGGTCGGCGTGTCTAACTTGGCTTGGAACTGTCTATAGAAAATAATATAATATAATTTCTATGTTATTCATATAAGATTGAAATCGCGATAAAGATATTTTAACTGTAGTGTTTTGTCACTTTCGATTCAATTAGGAAAGTAACTAGTAAGAGAAGAAAAGAGCTAATATATTTTTTTATACTCGTAGATGCAATTATTATTCCGATATCTAATATAGATGTAGAATCATATAAGATTTTTTTAAGAAGCAAATTAAGAATATTTTTAAGAACAAGGGTGACTATAATAAATATCGAAAAATAAAACTCATGTCTCATTCATGAAAGTATGAAGGAAGTAATAAAGAAACGATTGCATGAAGATACTGAAATCACACAAAACCAGCTTAGATTAATACCAAGCGGAAAAAACTGTTTGCTTAGCAAAAAAATATTAAAATCGAGTTTAGCCATTACAAATTATAAAACAAAAAAATCATGATGATGTGTGAAAAGAAAGGAGTAATTTGAAGGAATATCAATTAATCTTTTTACAATCTTCAAGATTTACTGCTTCTTGGGATTGGGATTCAAGATACTCGGGTTTTTCTGTACATTCTTAAGGATAAAGTAAAGACTAATAGAGTAGAGCAGTTACTTTTTTTCAGGCGTGCTAAGTTCAACCATACTCGCGGATTTGTTAGCTTCCGTGTTGGACCTATTAACATCAGATACATTGTGCTCCTTTATGCACTTGATCATCTCCCGCAGTTCTTTAGCGAAACGCTCACGGTGGGTCCTCGGCAGAGAACCCAGGAGACTGCACCCGATTTCCTATTGAAATGAAATAAATTGTGTAATTATACCTCACAAAATAAATATTCTAAATATTTTTTTAATATACAATACTGTACTGTTAGTTACCGGAGAGCCTGAATCTGATCTGTAGTACAGGTTTCGACCAAGTTCGACTCCAGAATCTTATGAGGAATAACTATTGTTTCCTTGAAAGTGCAACTATAAACTATATTGTAATGGTCCTTGTAAGTGATAAATAAAGATGATTATGATTATTAATATATTTTAATTTAATCTTCAAATATTATTTTATAATATTTCACTTTCAATATTACAATGATCCATATGATGTACCTATTATTATTTATATATCTGTGTATATACAAATATTTTGTATCTCCTGGATGATATATATCCAGAGATGCAAACGACTTGAACGAGTTTACTCAGGTCTCTTTCAACCCTCAAGCAGCTTTCTGTATAAGGTCTGTGTCAGTTTAAATGTGAGATATGGCAGTAAAATGAAACGGCGGTGCGTAGGCATCACTTCTTAGTCCTCAGAAATAGCGCTACCAACATAAAGCGACGATGTGACATCCGTGATATTATTCATGTGTATATTTTACTTTATTTGTATTTTATTTATCTTTTTTTTTATTTTATTAATAAAAAATACCTTATCAAGTAATTTTCCACCGGTAACACCTGAGACCTGCCATACTCCGCTATTCTGCTGGTTAGTCGCGGGGCATGAACAGGACGCGTTGGCACTTTCCATAACAATATGAAGTCCTGATGACTAAATTAAAAATTACATAAATACTAGCCACCCGGCCCTTCTTTGCACGGGTATATAGGTATTATACATATAAACCTTCCCGTTGTAAATTTATATCAGTTGTCTAATACCCAGGACACAAGCGATGGATGTAAATTTCACCTCCACGCGGTTCAAATTTGACCTCCTCCTGGAAACCATCATACTAAATTCCTGATGAATTAGTTACGATGGGCTAACTGTAACCTCATCCTCAACTTATCTTCCTCCATTAGTGCCAGCCAACCCGTACCGTAAACCAGGAATGTACACCATTCCATATTTTTCCCTAAAAAACCTTTTAGTTTTTCTTATATGAATTGCGTATATTATCACTATTATTAAGTATAATTATTATTATTTACAAAATTTAATGTATTTACCCATAAAACTATTATAGGTTAAGTCTAAGAAAGGTAGGTATCTCTAACACAAGGGGTATTAGACATGTCTTTCTTAAGTTCAAACAGTTATCTAGGAAAAGCATGTCAAAAAAAAGATCACCTGACAATTGATAACAACAGTTTTGGTGCCACCTCCATCCTGGCTGACATTAGCATCGTTCGTCTCGAGTGATTTGATGCTATAGCCGAGACATTGAAATAAAGAGCATAACTCTACCACATCTGCATATGTATCCTGGAAAATAAGTGTATATAACAATATTATGAACGAATAAGTTCATAACATCTTTATTGTTATACTAGCAGCCAGGCATCGTGTATTATTTATTATATTACGTTTTTTTAATCACTTAAATTTTTGGTTAATTTAACAATAATAATATTATTAAAATATTATTGTTATTTACTATACCAGACATAATATAACAGAGACATTTGGGCAAGTAAAATTTAATGCTACAGATTTGTGGACAAATTGTGCCTGTACCAGGTATCCGAAGAACCTGTGTCAAGGGTCGCCAGTTCCCCCCACTAAATTTTACGTCATAAGATTTATATGAACAAATGGAAATAACAGAAAGAATATGTGATTTTATCCATCCAACAAGGTAGAAAACCTTTTCTACTTGTAATTGTAAGATAATAAATGTCATTCTACAATAAGATCCATCTTATGATGGGAGGCAGGGCATTACAGTCAAAGAAAACTTACAACAGCACTGTGGAGATTGCCGACTCTTATGACAGAACAGAAAAATCAGAATATTCTGAACATTAAAAAATATTTTACTATTGTTTAATTCGTTTTAAATAGTTTTTCCAAATATTTGATCGTTGTTACAAGCGATCACGCCTGTTTAATTTTAATATCAGTATCAGAATAAAATTACCTAATATAATACAAATAGGTACTTACAAATTGCGACATACTTTCCAGCACTAAATTGAAACACAGATTTAAATCTACCTGATTAAAAAAATAAAAGCACGAATTAAATAATATGAGGAATTATTTATATACGATATTTATAAAGTGTTTACATTAGCTTTTATATAATTAATTCATAAGTACTTATTTTTCATACTACCGATCACTATAACTTCGAATGCCACTATTAAGTAGGTACTTAATATTGGACTACGGTCATGAGCATCTAAGAAATAATACTACCCCCGTAATTAAAACTTAAAAGCTATATTAACTTTGAGTAAATGTTGTTGCATTGTCCAGGTTTTAGTCTACTCGATATTGATTAAACTTATGGTTAGGCAGTATGGGCAATGATCTTCGGCTGTCCGAATGGAACATTTTTAAAACAACAATAACAAGCTTGCATAACTAGGAAGTGTAACATTCAGATCCGTTCAGCCATTTCACGATTATAGTAATTATAACTGAATTATATATGTACTAGCTGTGCCCGCCGTGAAATTCATTATTCTGATGTATAAACTATATTACTATAAAGTTTCATCAAAATCCTTTCAATAGTTTTTGCGTGAAAGAGTAACAAACATCCATCTATACTCACAAACTTTCGCGTTTATAATATATATATTAAAAGGGATTTCACGATTTAATTAATGTTAAATATCAAGGAATAAATCTGACTTGTCCCTCTCCCCACAAAGTTCAGTATTCATCATCATTCTGAAAGGTTCACATTATATTATAGTATATGTATATAGTTGTGGAGTGTATATGACGGAAATATACAGAAGTTGTATATTTCCGTCACATACACTGCACTGTCCATGTTACGACTGTTTAAGTTGCAAGCGTAATGGGAACCATTAATCTGGGAACGAGACGGGACGGATTGTCGTAACAGTTATAATTATTTATTATGTGATTCAATTATTTATTTAGTAATATTAATTTATATTTTAAAATATAAGTAATTGTTAATAAAAACTATTTTTCTTTATTCTATATATTTTATTATAGGAAATACAGTGATAGAAATAATGCTATAATTAGTTGTAGGTCATGTAACGCGGCGTGGCCGAGAACTTTGCGTATGACTTTATGACTTTGTTGACTGCCTCCAGGAAGTCCTTCTCAGTGGCGACTTTGCGACGGGCGCGGATCGCGAACATTCCTGCCTCTGTGCATACCGACCTGAAACACAAATAAAAACAATTGCTAAATGTATGCATATCATTACAGAGTAACTGTACCTATTTGGCTATTAATAATAATAGGTACCGCTTCACGATTTCAGGTATGATATTAATAATAATAATATAACATCGCAATATCAGGTGTTGTAATGACAGGCCTCAACTATTGTTGTATTTAATTCAAATGTAGAGCAGATATTGAACGATGGAGGTTTAAAATCTGCTACTTTTTTGTTGATATTGCGAGATTAAGCCAAAGTAAGGACTTAGGCCAAAATAGCAAACAAAATCCAAGTCTTGAAGGCATCGCTAGCGAATCGAGCCCCGGCTCAGGCCGTCGTAAGTTCGATCCCTATCCCTTAATAATTAATATAAAAAAAAATACAATTGTTACATTTCTATAACATTAAGTTAGGTCGACCACCCATAAAATTGGATGGGAGATCGATCGAAGGTGCTAGAAAATTAGTGTACATAGCATACCTTATTTCAGCACCAGTAGAATTAGGGCACAACCGCGCCAGCAGATCGAATCTAATATCCCGTTCAACGCTCATAGAACGAGCGTGGATACGGAAAATATGCGCTCGCCCCTCCAAGTCCGGGAGGCCGAACTCTACTTTCCGGTCGAGACGGCCGGGCCGCATGAGAGCCGGGTCCAAGGTGTCCGGTCTGTTCGTGGCCATCAGTACCTGGTAAGAAATTACTAATTAGCAAAAATATTATAGAGGCATGATTTATTTTGCAAGATTATAATCGGTAGATTTCTTGTAAAACCGAACTTAAGTTAATACAAAAATTAACATGAAACTATCGAAAATTTATACGTTATATATTTTTTGTATAGCATAGGTTACAAACGTGATTGGGGCTCACGCTGATATTAAGTGATCACCGCCGCTCATGAGAATTTCAACACCAGGGGAATTGCAAGTGTAGGCCTTTTAAGAAGGAATAAGCTCTTTTCTTGAAGATTTCAGTATCGTATCGGTTCGGAAATACCATTGCTGGAAGGTGATTCCACAATGTGGCTGTGGGTGGCCGAAAAACGCACGGTGGAGGAACGCCATTCATCCAGATCAGCATGGCATTTTAGTTTCAGGCGTGTAGTATAATTGTAAAATCAGCAGCTGGTAGTATATTATATTGTCCGCAATAAAACAGAAAAAAGGCAGTACGCTAGAAAGTGTATCACTTACCTTGATATTACCGCGTGGATCGAATCCGTCGAGCTGATTGATCAATTCCAACATGGTCCGTTGAACTTCATTGTCACCACCAGCACCGTCGTCGAATCTGTATTAAAAATATAATATACCGGGTATAGTATACCATTATAATCCGGGTATGACGTATCCGGATGCTCAATATCACTGGATATTACCGCCTGAGCACAGTAGGATGGTAGGTAATTCAATCAATTTTTTTATGTCACAGCAAAGTCATTATATTACTTTTGTGGGCAATAGAAAAATAAGAAATGGTTATATGTTTTTCTTAGAAAAAACTGTCGCCTAAAACTTCCAATCTGAAAGTATCCTCTTCAAATAAAAGTTTATTTGAAATTGGTTTATATATTACGAAGTCATTAAGTAATTAGTACGTTTAAAAACAGCCCAATTGTGAAAATCCTTTTTTGGAGTCAGTTAAAAACAAAATAATGGATAGAATAAATAATTGTAATGAAATACTAAATAAGAACATAATAGGATTATTGAAAAAATACTGTCATACATTTATTATATAATCTGTTTTTAGTAGATATTAAAATAAAAACTTATTTCAATGAGTAACATAATATTACAACTATTAAAACAACAAAAATATACACATTAATATAAAGAAAATGTGTGGCACCAAATCTTCGGCCTTGGTATAACACTTTTCAATATAATGAAATAATTTAAAAAAAAACATGTAATTAATCAAGCTGTGTTCCATGTATCTTACCTGGCGCCGCCGATAGCGTCGATTTCATCAAAGAAAATAAGACAGGCCTTTTTGCTGCGCGCCATCTCGAACAATTCGCGCACCATGCGGGCACCCTCGCCCACGTACTTCTGTACCAACTCGGAACCTGCGGAACATTTAAATATCATATCATCTTGTTAAGTATCATTAATATATAGTATACTAGCTGACCCGCACAACTTCGTCTGCATAACACTTATTTAATATTTATTATATTTTGTCCAATTTACATAATACCTTTCTAAATTATAGTCTGTGTGTTTGCTATAAAGTTTTACCAAAATCCGTAAGTCTTTAAAATGATTTGTCTGTCATGTCAAGTATGTCGTGCAACCTGTAACTCTACTTTAGTACTAAAGGAAATAGAGATGATATTAAAAATCTTTGATCTAGGGCGATCACTAATTAATCCACCACTTTTTTTATATATATACAATTATCCTGTCATGCAATTTATACTAAACAGCAAAAGACACTCTTTTTTTTTTAGTATAATGGAAATAGAGATGTTCATTGCAGAAAACGGTTTACGCTGGCGAAGACGTATCAGATAAGCGTGAGGTCTCAACCCATCATGACAAATTCAACAAGAATTTATCTTGGTTTCCCAATAATAAAACATGTACATTGCTGTCATGATCATTTCCATACTAAACAATCGCAAAAGACAGTCTTGCAGATGTATGTTCAGATCATTAACGCTAAATATAATGTAGAGGTATTGACTATTTAATTATACCGGTTCCGTAACCTAGGGTTAGAATTAAAAAGATGTGATCTTTCTAGAGAAAGTGTGTGTACGAATTTTTTTTTTTAAGAAAATCACAATTTTTATGGTGTTATGAGCTTATTTGTTTTTTTCTGTGTATAAAACAAATTGAAAATTATACCTAGCACAATTTACTTTCTAGTAGTAGTAAATTAGTATCTAACAATTTCGCCGGAGTTACGGCAGAATGCTAACGCGACTTCGCGACTCAAGCAATAGCGCTCGTAGGTACACCGTGAAGTTTTTTAGTGGCCAAGTACCCCACACATCTATTCGTAGACCCCCAGAGAGCGGGATGGTCTTTTGAATATATTTCCACACACAAAAATATATTTGATAAAATTGGACACTTCTTTCAGTTTGCCACTTTGTTTCCTGAGAAATTGTTTTTAATGGGATGAGTATATCACTCATTTTCCATGTAATATACTCAATGCAACTAACCACTAGACAAACACCAGTATATAAGATTCATCCCTCAAGTATTGAATACTCTAAAGTTACAATTACAATGCTAAAAACTCACCAATAACTCTTATAAAGCAGGCATCTGTGCGGTTGGCGACAGCCCTGGCACACAGTGTCTTCCCAGTACCAGGGGGCCCGAACAAAAGCACTCCTTTAGGTGGTTCGATACCAAGCTTCACGAATTTTTCTGGCTGTATTGGAAAATATTCGAATCAATATCAATCATAAGTATTTAGTTAGGGTACACCCATATAAAACATTTATTATAAAGGACATTTTTTGTTTCACAGTTTTCGATCCATTCATTCAAAGGCAAGTCTTATTGAATCTTTTTCATTTAATGTTTCCAAATGGATGATAGAATAAAAGAAACTATTAAAATGCTCTCTCATGAAGTTCATTTCAAAAAAGTGTGTTTATATTTCTTAGCATCCCAAATACTGTATAATAATAATAGAGTGCATAGTATTTATACTTTAATCCTCAGAAATAGTAACGAAGAGTCCGCCCATTGAGGATGTTTTAATGCCGGAAATGATATGGAACTGGAGTGGATGACAAAAGATGATGATGAGGTTAAGTCAATTAGCTTATCATAATTAATTCAACTGAAATTAGCCACAATCAGTTTTAAGAGCTGTCGAAGAGAAGATCATCGTCAGGAGAAACTGCAAGGAAATTGCCTGTGATATGTCACATTCAAGTTATAACTATTCAATCCGTCACTCCACCTGAGCAATTTGAACTGACCTCACTTCGGCGTAATAGTCAATTCAGTCTGAAATAGTAAAATTAACACTTTTACATAGGTTACAATGTACAGAATACACTTACATGCAACAAAGGAGTTTCAACAACTTCCCTCAACTTCTCAATCTGCTCCTTGCAACCACCCACGTCACTGTATGTTACATCAGGCTTCTCTTCCACCTGCATCATTGTAACTGTGGGATCGATCTTAGGAGGAAGTGGTATATGGATCTGGTATTTGTTGCGGTCCACACTGTAATAAAGTTATATTGAAATAGTAAATAAATTTAAATAATAATTGTGTTTTGTATACTGTGATATATTTTTAGGATCAATTCATTTAAGTTCTGTTTCAAAACATTTTTAAATATATGAACTTAGAAGGTACTAAAATTGTTAGAAAATAAATGTATTATATTTTCTGAAATAGTGTAATAGCCCTTAAGATAATAAAAATGTAGTTCAAGGTAATAACTCAATGTATAATCTAAATATATTAAGCTTGTAACAATGAACGTTTTTATTGGGGAGTTGTATCAGATATGTTGACAATACTAAAAGCCACATTCTTTCTTTACTCCCCTAAATTAGGTGAATTTGTGTAAATTGATTTATGTAAAAAAAATCCATTTTTATAAGTGTGAACATACACGAAAATATTCATTGCCACCTCCCATACAAATTTTCAATAATCCTATATTAGTGTATGTGTGTATTTACATTTTAAAATAGACCCATGTTCTTTTCAGCAAACTAGTCATATCATAATAAATATAGTTAACTGATACACTGATTCATTTTATACAAGTCTATCTTGTACAAATACAATTTTATTTTATTATGGTTTATTTTTTTGTGTACATAATAACTATAAACAACATAGTAAATGAAATATAACCAATTATTAACCAACAGGATGTGATTTCATAGATCATCACATCTTTTAATGTGTTTTGAAAATAGGAAATTGGTGCAATTAAAAATATTAACATATATGTACTGTAACAATATGACATATCATAAATATAGTAATGCACATACCATACATCTACATTGATGGTCCATAGTATACTTTCAGTAGTATATGAGTTAGTTCATGAAAATAATAAAACTATATAAATATATTTGATAAACTCACCCAACCCTCATTCCTTCTTCAATGTCAGTAGGTGCCACAGAATCAGCGAGGTCCACAACAAACTTAGCAAACTGCTTCACATTGATTATGTATTTTGGATCACTGGAATCTGCATTTATAATTTTAGTGCATCTTGCTACCTGTTTATTAAATAGTCTATGTAATATGACTATATTTTTATTTAAGTATATGATTAGTAATAAAAATAAAGTTTCTTGCTCATTCTTATTGTGATGACTCCTACACTTATTGCTATACCTAACAGTGTTGTTGACTTTCCCATAAACAAATAAATAAGTAAAATAAAGAATTAAGCTGCTTTTAATTAAAATGTACAATAGTATATCAATATAGTGAGCATGTACAATGATTAGAAATATGATCAATTGACATACAGGCAAATCCAACTTCATAATTATAAGAAAACAAGCTTATATCTTCAAAATGACACAATAATTATACTTGAAATAGCAGGATATGAAGTAAGTAATAAAAATTAATAAAGATTAATGTATAAACAAATCAGTCAGTATAAGAACAGTTTCTTTCAGTTGTTTTGTATTATATTCAGAAATTTTACTGACAATAAAACAGATATTTCAATTGGTTAATAGTAAATTCAGCCTGACAATTATATTCTTATATCTTAAGATTAGTGTTATGCTCCTTCAGTTAGAATTAAATATTCTATACAGGGCCACTATGAGCTCTTTAGTATTGTTATGGCACACACATGCAGTTTCACTCATGTGTGTGACACTTGTTAAAGTCTTTTGTAATATATATCTATATACTCATATGTTTATGTTTATATACATATATGTCTCTTGTTACTGAACCATTATGAGTGTACTCAAGAAATGAATAATATATTTAATTCTTACAAAAGATGAGATCACATATAACATGCTGTACCTGTAGTGGTTGCTCATTTTGTAAAGTCTGTTTATCTGCAGCAAGATCCCACAGAGCAGGAGGTGCTAAGCCTGTGTCAGATTCCTTGATACCTGTTAGTTCATTAACTCTCTTCATTACTGTTTGTATACCATCCTCCACCTCTTTGATGATTTTTGTGTATTGGCCTTGCCCCTAAAATACAAAATAACAATATAGAACAAAACTGCCAGTCATGATAGAATTGAAACCAATGTTAAAAATATTGTTGTTGTACACTCACATAAGATTTTAGTAGTGCTATATCACCTTCATCCAGCGCTGAAAAACAATAAATATAATTAGAAAAGACGAAAGAGAAAATAAATATATTATGGAGGTTAGAGGATACTCAAATAAACATACATTTAATTTCTTTTTCTGGTTCCTCTTTATCATCTTTTACTTTTCGCATATCATCTCCTAAATGGTCAGGCATTTTGAACTATTTTAATATACGTAATGGTATGTAATCCTAAACTTAACAATTATTTTACGAAAGTTTAATGATTCTTAGTTACAACAAAAAGCTACAAATTTGCACTGTCACCAGTCAGAAATCAGTCAAAATTAGTTCAGCTGTCATTCTGAATCATTCAACCAACACCATTGCCGCACTGACGTTCTATTTCACGTATATTCCATTCGAAATAATAAATACTGTGAAGTAAATATTATTCTATACTTATTAATAATATATACTGTTAATATATCTTTAAACGGACATATATTTGGAATATTCATAAAACTGAAACGGATTTTTTTTAATTTAAGTACATTCTGTATACCACAATCTATGCCTGAAACGAAATTTACCGAAGCATTACAAACGACAACGAAAAGACTATAAAAGTAATCGCAGAGCAAATAACCACTACGTTTTTACAAGCAATGACAAGCAAAACTTTACGAAGCGTTCACATGATCATAAAATTTTAAAATCAATATTTATGTGTCGAATTGTCTTTATTAAAAATCAATACTTACCTAATGTAATTTTCTATGTGTTCCTTAATTTTTTATTACAATTATTTTATCGATGAAAAGTATATTAAATTTATCATAAATAAGGTTATTTTAAATTTGATAATTAAAGAAATTAGTACGCATCATTAAGCTATTACAAGCACGCCACCTGACAACAATGTTTAGTACTAAAATTTTGTATTCGTAGTACTGAATGGAGAATCACATTTTTTCGTGTTTTTCATGAACTTATTCTTCTAAAATAGCGAATATTTTATTTTAGGTGAGTTTTGATATCCATAATTGACTTTAAAGAAACAGTAACGCCATAATCCAATTGATAACAATGGCTGCTTTGAATCGCGACTCTGGTTATGACCCAGAATCGAATGTCAAAGCCCGGTTTTGTTTAGAATTATCATAGCAATAGTTGCAGTTTTAATGCAAATACTCATCACTCTGGCCACATTGTTATTTTCTCATACTTTTCTATTAGAATGTTAAAATTCAATGCACACAAGAAATTATTTGGTTAGTGTTTCTACGAATACGCAAGGCGCCCGGTCTGTGATATTGTTACTGTTGCTTGCACGGAAATGCTTCAATTTATCTTATGTTATCAATTGCTTTTATCTTTTCATCTTGGACATCTTATTCCTAAATAATTCTGATAAAATGTGATAAATAAATGTATATAATATATGTGTCATGTTTTGGATCCTAAGAAAGGTATGTGACCATTCTTTTGTTAATACCTTGAAAACATTCATGTTTCAGTGTATTTACATTTACAATTCACTATCAAATCATTTGCAAGATCTCTGTACAATTACATGACATCTATTGTTTTTATAATAAGATAACCTTATTATTGTAACCTTTTCATGATATAACCATTAGCACCCGTACTACTTACTTAATAACATCATATGTTACAGTTTGATTTGTAGTCTAGAATTATATTAAATTGTGTCAGGTTGGTATACTGGTTTTAATTATTCATTTAGTGTGTTTTTGTATATCTATAAGTTTTTTTTTTAATATAAATTTTTAGTAACCTTCATCAGCATTAAAATGGTTCTGTAAATACTTACATACAATAAAATTTCTAGCTATGGAGATTTTTAAAATATTGATATTTTATTTTTTGATTTATTAAAACTTTAATGCACATATATACAAATAAAGGTGCACATGGCGGACTTAACACCTAAAGGTATTTTTTCTAGATATGTGTAATCTTTGTTCAAATATTATTTTATATGAAATAAATTCATATAAAATAATATTTTAAACATTATAAATCAAGAATATTTCAATATAAATATCAATTCATGTTATTCATATATGCAATTAAAAAATTTTTGTTGTAACATATTTTCCACCATCCATTTCAGTCTACAGATTCATACGTCTTAGCTTAACATTGTAATGTTATAACAATTATTTAAATGAGCAACATGCAAGTTTTTTTGCTCATTCTTCTTGTGACGGGACAGCTTTCCGAAGTAGTGGTAGATTAAAAAAATAAGTGAGAGAACTGAAAAAGGCCTAAATTTTATTTAATTGTACTACTACTATTATATTCTATAATAGGCAATGCCCAAAAAATAATCCCAATTGTGGACAAAAATTGTAAGTAAAATTATACAATACATTTTTGTGAACCAATCTTCGAAATTAAGACATTTTTGTTGTAGATGAATATTATTTTGTTTTCATTAACTTCCTTAAAATGTTTGATATAATAAAAACTCAATAATAAAATACCAATTTTGATTGGTATTTTATTATTGAGTATTATTAATCTTCAAATAATAATAATTATGTTATTCTGATATAGACTTTATCAGTAAATAATTACAATATAATTTATAACCGGGTAGTTACTATGTATATAATAACTATGCTTTAATTGAACAGGAAATCACAACAAAATGAAAAACAATAACAAAATGCACTTCAATATAGTGCATTTTTTTATATAAATTGAATGACAATGTTTTTTGTTTCATACACATGCCTTAGCTTTAGTATGCTTCTATCTATTAAGTTTTAACAGTTGCTTTTTTTATTTTTCACTGTATACCTTGCTTAAGTTAAGCTTCATGGGATGTAGAAGTTTACTATTCTAACACCATATCTACAATTAAAAAAGAATAATAAAAGTCACAAGATTGAATAAATAGAGGCTTTTTATGAAGTAGGTTAATAGAAATTAATAATTTAATTAAAAATTGAACTAAATATGCTAATTGTTATGATTAATGAATATTACTCAGTTACAATAACTTCTAGTAAATACCTACATAACAGTGGCTTTGTTTTGAATGTATACCTATATTTAACTGGCCTTCTCATTTATTTCATGAGTGGACATTACAAATCACCGTTTAACCACAACTCAGTAACATCCCTCAGCTGGACACGTGTCTTACTTGATAAGAGTAGTAATCAACACTACTACAATATTAATTTCGATTATTATCAACATAAGTTTACTCATTCATCGTCCAATACCAGATAATAACAAACCTTAGGGTTTGATTATGTTACGCAGTTTTTAACAATTAGCTACTCGCCCCGGCTTCGCCCGGGTGTACATGTATTATACATATAAACATTCCTCTTGAATCACTCTATCCATTAAAAAAAACCGCTTGAAAATCCCTTGCGTAGTTTTAAAGATTTAAGCATATATAGGGACAGACAGACAGCGACTTTGTTTTATACTATGTAATGATTTACAATTGAGACTGATTAAATCTTGAATTTTACTATTATTATTATACCATTAAATCATTTAACAATTCATTTAGTACAGATTGTAACAGCACCTCTCAAATGCTTCAAATAAAATCGCAAACTTATAGTCTGCTTGATTTTTAATCGAGAATTGTTAGCAACGTAACGCAGTTGCTAATACTTATTATAGATGCGACAGTAGCTCTGTATGTCTCGCCAATAACTCTGCCAATTCGATTTCATACCAAAACTACTGAACCGATTTAAATTAAATTTCGTAGTCTAGACCATGAGTTTTAATGCGATAAGGGGTCAACTTCTTTATCGCATTAAAACTCAGGGTCTCTCACTATCACTCAGGGAGATGAAAGATTGTATGGAAGTATCGTCATTTTTAAAGCTAAAAGCATGAAACTTACTTCTTTATTAAATTTATAATACAGAATAATATAATACAGAAATAATCTATACTTATAAATAAAATTAGATGTCTGTTCGTAATATTGAAATAACCGTTTTTTACTGCATGGATATGAATATAAATATGGTACACACATTAAAACATTTTTTACAATTTTTGTCTGACTGTCTGTTTGTTCCGACTAATCTCTGAAGTGGCTGGACCAATTTTGACGGGACTTTTTTTGTGAATAAACTGGTAAACATTTTTAAAAAGAGGCCTTGTCCTGGATTGATACTAATTATCTTAACAATAAAAACAATGTGTAACAACTACAAAATGGCAGGTAGCTGATATAATAACGAGTAACTTAGGATAATTTTATTTTAGAAAAATAAACTTAAATTCCACGCGGACGAAATCGCGGGTGCAGCTAGTATTAAAGATTGCTTTACTTGGTCAAGGCCAATATTTTACGCACGACGATGAAGTCGCGGGCACAACTAGTATAATACATAAAGCACCTGAATTTAAACGATCGCGTTTATTTAATGGACCTCCAATTATTATATTGCAGTAATAAGGCCACCTATGATATATTGTTTGTGCCTCTTTTTTACTGTATGTTGCAAATAAAGTATCCATCGATCTATTAAAATGTTATACACCTGAGATAAAAATGTCAATTGGAAAGCTATTCTGTACTTGGCCAATGTTTGTATACTCTTCATGTGTGGGATGTTTGCTATAAATAAACGCCGTCTTGGACCAAACTACGCGATTTCGTCCTATCATGATGTACTTTTATTCACACTGTCACTACGTGCAGTATTGGATTTTCGTTTGAAATGTCTTTTGTGTGACAATATCGTTATAACCCGCCGTTGTTGTTAAGTACTGTTGTTTGTGGATGACTTGTGCATTCTGCTTTTGAAGATGCCTAGTACTAGCGGTGGTGTAAACTGTATGTGTTATATACCTTTGTGTTGTGATGTTTGGCATTAAAAATTTTCTGTTTAAGGTATAGTGTATTAATAGTATTTTTTATTTTATTACTGCCAAGACAACAGACATATTCCTCTTGTTGATATATACATACGTAAGTTTACGTATTTTTTTTTCTATACCTAAAATTTATTTTATTAAACCAACTTCACTCCAAATGAAAAGGCAAAATTTTTTTCTCGACTTAATTGTATACGATATACTCGCTAATACTGCATTAATGTATTTTGTCCTTTTATTTCTATCTATCTTCCGTTTGAGTACTCACAATCTGTTTTCTATGGGCTATATTTAGTAAATAATCTCCCCATGTCTTTATAATACACTAGGGACTTGCCCTTGCTTCACACAAGTGTACAGAGTATGCAACTGACATCGTATAACTATGTGGATGTATTAAACACATAAATCATCAATAAATTCTCTAAATTATAGTGAAAACCGTATCAAAATCGGATGCGTAATTTAGAAAAAGTAAACAGACAGACAGACAAAGACAGACCAGCTTTTGTTTTATACTATTAAAATGATAAAGAAGATGCATGTAATAATAATTATTGATTTATATGCTATTGTATATTATCTATTATTGTCTGTCTTTTTTTTTAAATGACTAATTTTGAGCAATAAACAATTTCGATAAAAGAACGATAAGATTGTTTACTCATGCTATGTACATAGGAAAATAGTGTGTTTCTGATTTTTTTTTAGTGTAAAATATAAATATGTTTTGTTGGTGGTGTAAACGTAGATTGGTGTGTTGTGAAAGTATATAATATCCAGTATAATCGCCATGACATTTCTAATTGATGATCATGTGATTAATATGTGTGATGGGGTGATGATGTGAAGTCTGTAATGTGGATGTGGGTCAATGTGCTCCCTCTAATATGGTTGTTTGCAATGATGGCTGGCTCATCCATCATACTCGTGAACGGGTGCTTGTGGGGACTGGTTTGTTCGGGTTACGAACATTGATTAGAATATTTGCTTTTAACAAAATATTAATTAAAACTTCCGACTTATTATTATGTAGCTCTTTTATTACTTGACGACAGAATGTGAAAACAAATTAATATATTTTCTTTGGAAGAAAACAGAATACATTCATAATATATATAATTATATAATACGAATCAATAGCACATTGACATTTTGCATTGTGCATTTTGTTGTCGACTTTACAACGGCGTGGGGTGTGGCCCAAAAGCTCCTTGTAAATAAAAACACGTGTTTATATTACATTTTTGTTGTGCAGTGCTGCTGGCGAGTTGGCGAGATGCACACAGCCACTGCAGACGGGCAGTACCGCGGCGCCAACGGTTCCTCACACGGTCGTGACAAACTCGCCATATTAGATGCTGGCTCCCAGTACGGAAAGGTAAGTTTCAATTACTTATTACAAATTTTACCTAGTCACTATAGGACTTCATCCGTACGTCGTGGAATTTCCAAATATTCGCACTGACCGGCAACTCATCCACGAACCCATTGAAATATGCTCACAAAATTTCATCCAAACCGATCCAGCCGTATAGGAGCAGTTAGGTGATAAGCGCACGTACAGAAAAATTATGTATATATTCTATAATAAGTAATAGATGTCTTTATTAAAACACTAGACATTACTAGTTGTAACCCACGACACACCTTGCTTGAATACGGCTAATAAATATAGTAACAATTTATCTTCGTACCAATTGTCTTTTCGGCCCATCATCCATCCACTCATCCTCACAAACTTCCCTTTATAATATTAATAGTAACTTATTACAAGTTCTTTTCTATGTATATTCTTTTTGTTATTGTAACTGGGAAGTAAAGAAAGAGTGGTGTCAATGAGTTTAGACAACATTCTGATACGTCTTCCCTAGAGCAAAGATTTAGTGCAATAAACACCTCTACTTACTTTAGTATGAACGCAGAGCTACGCGTTGCACGACAATTTTTTTCGTCTATTTTTTATATTGTGTACTTCGGATTCCACTCTATGTAAATAAGAAGGTGCGGAGTCATGATCTAATTCTTCGAAATAGCAACCAATGATTAATTATAGAATAATTGCTATGGATCATCAGGTGGGCTCAACTTATAAAAGTTAAGAGCCCACCTATTCCAGTTACATAATATCTTTATGTATAAAAGTTACTTATCACGTTGTTTGTCCGCGATGGACTTCTTAACTACTGAACCGTGCAAATTTGATTTGCACATTGTGTGCAATTTAATCCAACTTGAAAGATAGGATAGCTTGCATCTCAATTTATAGGCTATTATTTTATTATTATTTTATTCAAGAACTTTAGATTAGCACAGCAACACGTGGCCGGGTCTGCTAGTATATATATATATATATAATGTGAGGGGTGAGATCCCCCCTTTTATAGTATCGTCGATAAAATATAACGTATGATACGTGGTTCAATAATCGTTATTCCGTAAACAGACACTTTGTATAAGTAAATGAAATGATAATTCTTTATTATCCTTCTAACATACACAATTGTGTACAAATATATAAACAGGTAGTAACATACAACAATGAACAAGAAAAAGAGGCAATATTGAATGTATTATGTAGGTATAAACCTACGTAAATATTATACTATAATCGTAATCCATTCAGTTTACCCAATGTCTATAAAAACGAACGGTTTTCAATAATAAAATTTGGTATGAAGAAATATTAAATTCTGTAATTATTGATGGTGCCTGACCGAACTTGACTTTATTTGTGCTAGTTTTGCACAAATATGAGACTATATGTTTACCTTTTGTTTCGCCAGTAAATTAGCTAAAACTAAGAAAATCTCGAATTCTAATATAATTGATACTAGAACTGCTGTTTCAATATTGGCCAAAATTTAAACAGATTTTTAGTAAAAAGTTATATTAGTTTTTTTTTTAGTTACTAATTGAAAAGTATTCCACTAACCGATACTTTCTGAGATTATTATAAATGAAAGTTAAATATAATATATCACAGAGAAAATATATTGACGGCCACACGCTCATTGAAATTTGCGGTTTAGCACACTGCTATACTTCCGATGAATGGTCACGGTTAGATTCCTATCATGATATAAATATTTGTATTCATGTATATTGTTATGTACTTGTATTTATGGGTGTTTCTATGTATCTGTGTATTTAAAAAATGTATTTAAGTACTTCTATCATTTATTTAGTAACCTTAACACAAGCTATGCTTAATTTGGTACTAGATAGCGCTGTGTGAATTGTCCAGGGTTATTATTATCATTTATATTCATGACTATGATAGTTTGCATCGGTCTGAGTGTTTTCTATGTGTATTATGTATGTATGTATATCAGTTGTATAGTATCCATAACACAAGATCTGTGACTGGATTACGTTGTGTGAATTGTCCAAAGATATGCCATATGCGATAAAATAAAAAATAATGTTAGGGGTGGTCAATCGTTATCACTTAGGAGTATGAAAAATAGATAGTAGCCGATTCTCAGAACTACTGAATATGTATTGCATATAAAATTGCATAAAAATCGGTCGTACCGTTTCGGAGGAGTATGGTAACTAACATTGTGACACAAGAATTTTGTATATAAGATTATTATGTTATTTGTCTCTATAGGTTATAGACCGACGGGTCCGAGAACTATGCGTGGAGTCAGACATTTTGCCGCTGGACACTCCGGCCTACCACCTCAAGGAGGCTGGCTACCGGGCCATCATCATATCCGGCGGACCCAACTCGGTATACGCCGAGGATGCTCCAAGATATGACTCGGACATATTCAAAATTGGATTACCAGTGTTAGGTATTATTTAATAATACTAATAGTCGCCAAAAGGTCGTAATTCCAAACCATCATTATTTTAAATTATAACATTGAAATTTTATTAAGATGCTATTGTCAAAGTAGTAAGAGAAGTGCAAAAAGCTAATATTTATAGAAGTATGTGTGTGTGTCATAATATTGTATTGTAAAGTGTCTAATGTTTTTTTTTTTATTGATTTAAACTATTTATATGCATAATTTAAAAAAAAATAGCATTCTGCACTACTTCTCTATATAAACTATACTTGTGCAACATTTTATACTCTATCCGTCCGCGCAATTTTGTGTCCGTTTGTTTAATGCTAAACGGATGCTAATTTAATTTTGTATGATATATATACATATATCTTTAATTTATAAAAGAAACTAGAAGGGGGTAAATTTACGGGATAAGTTACGGGTAACGGCTAGTGCACTATATGAGTGAAGTTTAAAAAAAAAGGAAAATAATAATGATTTTACTTCATTTCAGGTATTTGTTACGGTATGCAAATGCTCAACAAAGAGTTTGGTGGCTCAGTTCTGCGGAAAGAGGCTCGTGAGGATGGCCAGTTCGAAGTTGAAGTGGAGACAACCTGCCCACTTTTCAAGTTAGTTTGTTTATCTCACTATATACCATATATAACCAGCTACTCGCTCCGGTTTCGCCCTGGTGTACATGTATTATAACACTCATACATTACACATAAACCTTCCTCAAATGCATTAAAATCCGTTGCGTAGTTTAAAATATATAAACGAACAGACAGCGGAAGCGCCTTCATTCTATACTATGTAATATGTCTGAGAACAGTAGTTAAACTTATCCCTAAAAGGATATTTTATCAAACATCAGACTGGGCAAAGTGGTAAACTGAAATACAGTAAAATATAATTATAACTAGCTGACTCCCCATACGGTGTTTTGCCACATAAATTAATAACGCTCTTAAAAAATAGGGGTTGGTGATAGACGGGTGAAAATTTTGGGTTGTATGTATTTTTATGTCACATTATAAGAAAATAATTTAAAAAATTAAATTAAATTTTGGGTTGTATGTATTTTTATGTCACATTATAAAAAAATAATTTTATCACAATAATAAAAAAAAATGTTAAGGGTTGACAACCCTTATCACTTCTCCTTCCTTAGCCGATTCTCAGACCTACTGAATATGCATATTAAATTTCATAAAAATCGGTCAAGTCGTTTCGCAGAAATATGGTAACTAACATTGTGACACGAGAATTTTATATAATTACTAGCTGTCCCGGCAAACGTTGTTTTGCCTTAAAATAAAAAAAAATTTAGGGGTTAGATATATATACTCACAAAATTTCATGAGAATCGGTCAAGCCGTTTCGGAGAAGTATGGGAACGAAAACTGTGACACAAGAATTTTATATATAAGATTATGTTATATATATAATACTTTGCTAATACTTGTCGTTAAAAATATATAATTTTAACAAAAAGGATTTTCTTTTTGTTTTGATATATGTATACGAGGGTATAAATAAACGTATGCCGGTATTTATTCATTATGTTGTCTAAATCGCTATGAAAAAATACATTACATTAATAACCTTTGGTAAAAAAAACCTTAATATTAATTAATCATACATATGAGTTTATGTACAAAGACATCTTTCAAAAGTACAGTCAGAATATGTACTCATTCCATTTTAGCTGTTCAAAAGACTACATACAGTATAAATATTATATTTATATTTTTTCAGTCGATTAGAAAAATTACAGCCAGTGTTGCTGACACACGGTGACAGCGTGCAGAAAGTTGGCGAGAGGTTCCGCGTGGGCGCGCAGTCGTCTAACCTCATAGCCGCCATATACAACGAACAAATGCGACTGTACGGTGTTCAGTTTCATCCAGAGGTTCGTTGAAACATTTCTAAACAATGTCACAATTGCTGCCTTTAAGTGTTATAGTATACATTCTTTCTTTCATGTGCGCGATTAGGAGCGTGCACTTTACCTTTTACGCGTATGTTTAAAGCCATTTGACTTTTAAAATTTTATTTTTTACTACCTGTTACCGCGGTTTCACCCGCGTGAAATTTATAGCCTATATGTTATTCTGATGTATAAGCTATAATACTGTAAAGTTTCATTAAAATCCGTTCAGTAGTTTTTGCGTGAAACAGTAACAAACATCCACCCATACTCACAAACTTTCGCGTTTGTGAGTATGGGTGGATGGGTGGTAATTGGAAATATTATTAATATTTCCAATTATCCACCATACTCCCAAACGCGATTCGTGGAAGTATTAATAAAATTACACAGATTTTATGTTCCAAAGCCACATTTAAGATATATTAGATATATATATCATCAATAACTCTATAATAGTTTTTGCTCTGTAGTCAATAGGCCTCTATTTTGTGGTGATTAATAATGATTATAAAAAGATGCTAAAGCACGCACGCACCCACTATTGTAAAATGCGGAAATGGACGAGCTGGCGGCACGCGCGATCTAGGGAATGTAGACAATGAGAACTTGTATTTCTTTGTCTACATTTACATAGATATTCTTTCCTGCGTTTCAGATTCCTCGATCCATTTATATGATTACTTTCCATCAGGTGAACCGTAACCTTGTTTGTCATTCCACTTATTTAAAAAAAACGTTTGTTATTCACAGGTGGACCTAACTCCCAAAGGGAAGCAAATGCTATCCAATTTCCTGTTCGATATCGCGGGGCTGTCTCGCTCGTTCACGCTGCGCTCGCGACGAGATGCCTGCATACAGTACATACGTGACACAGTCGGCGAGAACAAAGTGCTCGTATGTATAATACATATTACGATTGTATATATTTACCAGCGGAAGTTAAAAATATAGATATATAGGTACTTAACATATTAAGCATAAGAAATTATGTGCCTACCAAAAGATTATCTGGAAGAAATTAGTGATTTGCTATCGCGGCTCAGAAGCTCTTGAGTTCAATTTAACCCACATTAAAAAAAACACGTATATCTGACCACTTGTACAGATTTGGAAGCACCACAGATTTACCCTCCGCCATATTGGATTCACATATAGGCACTGAAATGTGAGGAAAAGTCAAATAATAATTGGCAATTCTTCTTACTACTATATCTGGGATAACTATGATAATAAATATGTATTTATTTACTATTATAGTTATTCCTATGTATAAATAAACTATAATAGTTTTACTATTATATTATGGCATCATTGGTCCATTTGTTAGTAATATTTTTTATAGTAAAAATCATATCTTAGGTTTTGGTAAGCGGCGGTGTGGACTCCACAGTATGCGCAGCCCTGCTCCGCACCGCCTTACGTGAAGATCAAGTCATCGCCTTACACATTGACAATGGTACGTTCATAACTATATTATTATTGACGGCATTGAAATTGTTTGTATTGATTTGGGGTTTCTATGATATATTATGTTTATATTTACAAAAAAATCTAAGCATTTATATATATATATATATATATATATATTTTATATCTCTAAACATTGTATATTTATATTTTATTGAGTGTAGTATAAGCATCATAATTTGTTTAACTTATATCACATTTCGGTTGGGGGCCCGGTGATCTGTATTACAGGTTATACCTATTTCAGCACCAACTCCTCACAGCAAATCGATTAAAATAATAAATTTAAGCATTTTACTACAAAGAATGTTGTTGCTATCATGTTTGTGAGGAGAAATAAAAAAAATCAATTATTGTCTAGCACCCATAAGACAAGCTTACCTTGGGACTAGATGGCGCTGTGTAAATTGCCCAGGAGTATTGCTATTTTTATAACTGTGTGTCTGTCTACGTCTAACAGATATGTGATGTCTCATCACATATCTGTTAGGCGTAGACAGAATTCAAAATCAGCGGTAGTGAAAAAGAATATTATTCTTCAAAAGAACTTATGTTTATTTACATAAAAAAATCTGTTCTATTCTAATATAATAGTCCCCGAGGCTGGATTTCATTAGTCATTTCCTCTTTTTCTCATCCCTCTCCTCGGCGTTACGTAATAATATTACTTATATTGTAATAATATTTTTGTAATTACATACTATTTCTAAATTTAGTTTACTTTAGTACTGACTATATGTTAAAATTCTATTTTTATACTTTTTACAGGTTTCATGCGCAAAAATGAAAGTAGTAAAGTGGAAAGAAGCCTTAGAGATCTCGGTGTACGTTTACACGTGATTAATGCGGCTCATCAGGTATATTACATAATATATGTTATATTGAGAGAAAAAGTTTGATTCTATAGTTGTTGCTAATTTATTTATTTTTATATACATTTATATAAATCGAAGCTTGATGTTAACACTCTTAACTCTGCCATCAAAGAACTTTAAATTTACATGTTTAGACATACATTTACTGACTGACTCAAGTGAATTCATGCTATTTTACAGTTTGTACCCACATGACACAAAAATTTAAATATTTTGCTTTTCTTTAAATAAGGCAATAAGCAATAGGCAATAATTTTGTTCTTTATGTCTGAATCTGTTTTCCGAATATTTTAAATACTGCTCCGGTGGATTCAAAAAATTTGACCCTTCGAAAGTGCTAATATTTAAGTCTATTTGAAAAAAGACGTATTTTAGACCTCTTCTATTTGATGTTGTATGTACGCTCGCACAGATATTGAAGGTTAAGCATAAGAAATGGTGTTGAATAGTAGTGGTTGTCAGTTCCGGCAGGGCAGCACCGTGGTGCGGGAGGGGTCGTCCCCGGCGGGCGGCGGCGGCGCGGGGGCGACCGCGGGGGGCCGCGCGCGCCACACGCCGCTGCTGTGCCACGCCACCGCGCCGGAGGACAAGCGCAAGATCATCGGCGACGTGTTCATACGCATCGCAGAGCAGGCCGTCCACGATCTACATCTACAGTTAGTATCACATTACTCTTATTTATTTATTTATCAGGCATCAAACCAAATTGAACCTACGGTGTACGTCTGTGCGGAAGTGGTAGTAGCTGCAACTGAGATTCTCCCAGATCTTAAAGAGAATTCTTAAGGCATATTAGTTATAATCAACTCGGAAATTTATAACTTCTCAAATTTACCAACACAACGACAATACTCTATGTGTACACCCTAATAAGCTAGTTATTGACTACTCAACCCTCCCAAAACACATGAAAAGAACACATGCATTAAATTTACGCTAGAGGACCTCATTACATAATAAGTCGTGCACAATGACAGCTGACTCACATTGTCATCTGCCAACCAATCTAATTATAGTAAACATACTGACAGAGGATATACAAAGAATAAAAAAATATAAACACTTTGTTGCAATTGCATATCTTTGAGTGTCACTAACAATGATTACTATAGACTAGTAGCATGTTATATATCGTGACAGATAGGGCTGTATCGACTTTGTTCCTTTGACTTCAGCATAATAAAAAAGCTAAAAATCGTATATAGATAGTATCATATACAGGGAGGACCACGTACTACTCGGACAGGGCACCCTTCGGCCGGACCTGATCGAGTCCGCGTCGTCGATGTGCTCCAACAACGCGGCCACAATCAAGACCCATCACAACGACACAGAGCTGGTGCGGCTGCTGAGGCAGCGCGGACGGGTCGTTGAACCCCTCAAGGACTTCCACAAAGACGAGGTAATCAATTGTCTACTAATTACTTTTTAAATAAAAATATACAATTCTAATTTTAAATCTATTTATTGTTTTTCTAAATTTAATTCTATTTTTTGTAAACTCCGTTTCTGGTTCGATCCTATTTTGAAAATTCTTTCACTGTTTGAAAGGCATATTACCTCCAAGTTCTTAGGCTATATATGGTATGTTATATGGCGGAGCTGGGCCTGCCGGCGGCGCTGGTGGAGCGACACCCGTTTAAATATAATATGGTCGATGTCGGTACCGGTCAGATGATGATCTGTGATGTGGTGGTGTGGTGGTGTTGTGGTGCAGGTGCGCGCGCTGGGCGCGGAGCTGGGTCTGCCGGCGGCGCTGGTGGAGCGGCACCCGTTCCCGGGCCCCGGGCTGGCCGTGCGCGTGCTCTGCCAGGACGAGCCCTACACCGACCGGGACTTCGCGGAGACCCAGGTGACCACCTACAATATCTTTATTTCTATCGTGTGAAAAAGACCGCGCCCCTGCCGGAAGGGTCACGTGGTGTGTGGAAAATACAATGAATAAAATTATAATAATACCAATCTCTCGTTTATGTTGGTTGAATCTATGAGAGATGCGCTTTGATAAGTTCGCATCCTCTTGACCCCTGCAAATTATTTTTGTACTCATTGTCCCTTCTTTGCGCTTTCTTCTCCTTAAGACGCAGCGGAAGAAACTCCCGCAGCCTCCTAAAATCCTTCTCCATAGACACCAAATCTGGATAGTCCAGAACGTCCACTTCGCCCTCAGCGCTATGTATCCCTCCCAACAGTATCCCCCTTAGGTCTGAATAGAGCGAGCTCTCCCACAAAACGTGAGGGAGGCCTTTCTCCGACTCCCCACAACTACTCTCATGGCCATGTCCAGACAGGTTCTGGGACGTCTCGTAATCGGGTTCTGCCCATGGAGACGCCAACCTAATATATATGATCTGTATCGGTGTGGGCAGGTTATAGTGAAGATAATGGTGGAGTACGCGTCGATGTGCATGAAGTCGCACGCGCTGCTGGGGCGCGTGGCCAACGCCTGCAGCGCCGCAGACCAGGCCGAGCTCAAGCGGATCTCGTCGTCGTCGCCCGTCGCCGCCACGCTGCTGCCGCTGCGCTCCGTCGGCGTACAAGGTCACACCTACTATACTCGTAGCGACGTTCACTGCGCTGTGACGCATTCCGTCCGTTCTGCTATCTGTACAGATAGTATGGTAGACATTAGGGTTACAGTTTTGTAAATAAATAATACATTTAACACTGTTAAAATACTAGAAAACGAGTGATTTAGTTAGGTAGTACTTATTGATCATTGTTTAATTAATTATAGGTGACGGACGGACGTATAACTACGCGGTGGCGTTATCAACGGAACGCTACCCGCCCGACTGGAAAGACATGTCCTACCTCGCCAAAATGATCCCTCGCGTCTGCCACAACGTCAACAGGTCTGTGAAACATTTAGGACAAATTATATGTACCGCAAAATTACTTCTTAGCAATGTTCCGATTGGAAGGGCATGTGAAATGGTAACATTCTAGAAAATTATTAATATATTATATAAGTGCGTTCTGATGGTCATAATACATGAGGCGAAACTGCAGCGTAGTAGAGCCCAGTGTGTTAAATACGCGTATCATATCGTACGACGTTTTTCAATACACTTGATATTAAATAAGCTCAACCATAAAACTGTGATGCACTCTTTCGGGCCGTATTACTTTTTTAAACCAGCGCGCTGCCTACTGGCTGAAAAATAATAGAGCTATTTTATGAGCTGCTTTATACACAGAAAACTAGTGAAATATCTCGTAATATAGGCATGTCGGCTTTATAGACATTTCATTTGCTAGTACTAAATGAGATTTATAGAGATAACTCCCGTAACGTCCCGGCAAACGTTGTTTTGCCATATAAATTAATAACGCTATAAAAAAATAGGGGTTGATGATAGGAGGGTGAAAATTTAGGATTGTATGTATTTTTGTATGTTGTATCATAAAAAATAGTAATTAAAAATTATGTCTAAAAAATTTAAAAATAATTAGGGGTGGACTGCCCCTAACATTTAGGGGGATGAAAAATAGATGTTGGCCGATTCTCAGACCTACTCAATACGCTCACAAAATTTCATGAGAATCGGTCAAGCCGTTTCGGAGGAGTATGGGAACGAAAACTGTGACACGAGAATTTTATATATAAGATAATGCTTGTTTGCAGGGTTTGTTACGCATTCGGAGGTATAATTAAGGAACTAGTGACAGACATAACGCCAACATTCTTAACACAACAAGTTATATCAACTTTACGTCAGGCCGACGATATCGCCATGCAGGTGAGTATTTGACTAATGTTTCTAGTATAAATATTAAAACACTAGCTGTGCCCGCGGTTGCACCCGTGTGTAATTTACAGCCTATATGTTATTTTGATGTATAAGCTATATTATTGTAAAGTATCATTAAAATCCATCCATATTCACATACTTACGCATTTATATTGGTAAGATTCCATGTGAATATTTCGCTTATAGTTTTCCAAGCCAGGATCTCAATTCTTTAACAATTATCCTCTCAATATTTATATTGTTAACCGACTCTTAAGAGGAATAATTTTTTGGTAAATAAATGTATTGTAGTAGAAAACACTGCTGGTACTAACATTGACATCGTTACTCCAGTCAGCTCGTGACCACGGTTAGTGCAACCTAGTCGAAAAGCCGAGAGTGATAAATATCTTTATTAAGCATACAATTTTTCGTGTTAAGACCCTGTTAACAAATAAATAATGTATATTAAACGCGTAAGTTATATGATTATTGAATAAATATCGATTCTATTCTATTTTGATCTATTGTATATATATGAATTAATATACATATATATAGTTAAGTCCCTTTTGTATTTGTTTTTTTTTTTTTTGCACAATAAAGTTATTATTATTATTATTGTAAATCTGATTGAGATAAGTGTTCACCTACCGATGTTTGATGATGATGATTGTAACACGTGTTGGTCTAAGCTGCATCTTAACGCTGCACGTACCGATGTTTGATGATGAAGTTCTGTACCAGGTGCTGGTATCGAGCGGCATCGTATCGCGCGTGGCGCAGATGCCCGTGGTGCTGGTGCCGCTGCACCTGGACCGGGACGCGGCGGTGCGCGCGGCGTCGTGCCAGCGCTGCATCGTGCTGCGGCCGTTCCTCACGGCTGACTTCATGACGGGCCTGCCCGCGCTGCCCGGCTCCGACGCCATGCCGCAGGACGTTAGTATACACTCGCAGACTTCTTACCGTTCCATATCTATGAGTCTGCTGCGACTCGTACGACCTGGATGCTACGATATATACATGATAAGTCTGGCCTGCTCGCTAACATCATTTAATGAGTTCTCGGTCATATTATCTTTGCAATGTCATTAACGAGAGTAATGTTTGCTATATTTTACATTATTGTACCATTTTAAACTAATATTGTTCCCAAATTGTCCACAGGTACTAGACAGAATGCGTAAGGAATTAATGAGCGTGCCAGGCATATCCCGCGTGCTCTACGACCTAACTCCGAAGCCACCTGGCACCACAGAGTGGGAATGATCGCGCCCATAGCCTTCCTTTTATATATTTTTTTACTAAACGAATGCACCCGTGGGGCAGTGGCTCTAGTTTCTTAATACTGCACGAAGCCCTACATAGAAAACGAAAACCCAACATGCACAAACACATACAAAATTGACTCTTAAATACAACAGTACATGGTCGTAAACGGTTTGCGAAAATGAAAGCCAAGTATAGAACAATGTAACTGAAAACTTTCCCAATGAAGCAAATTGCAGTAGTGAAATTTTTTAGTCTGTTTCATTTATAAGGAATCATTATCTGTTTCATATGAACTCCGCGGTTACTTGATCTATGTTATATGAAAAGTTCTAAATTTGACTCTTTGGTGAAAGTCAGTACTCTCATTAGTACCTGTTTTTCTATTTTGTTGATATCAATACAATTAACAATGTACATTGCTGATACAATATTAATTCTGCGTACATGAAATCCTGGTTCGATTTTAACAATATATTTATGAGTTGTAGCAACAAAATATATTTAATTTCCACCTTTGTTAGAACTTAGCATGATTAACAATAAATGTCATTGTTTAGTTACAAATGAATATAGATTAGAAATTTTAAAGTGCCGCTTTTTACACTGTGCACATTGGGTTTTTATGTATGTAAACACATGAAGTGCCCATTCTGGCATTGAAATTCAAATTACCACTTTCATATTTTCTATCTAGTTGTATTTAAGATGTTTTAGACAGATATGAAAGTTGGCCAAGTGTGAATTGAACTGTAAATGTAGTAAATTAATATACCTACCGATTGTTGTTATACATAATAGTATATTTAATTGGCTTTTATTAGTTTACCCCAATTGTTTGTTAATATATTAGATAATCAGTCTTGTTACAAGTTTGTATTATGCAATAATAAAGTGCCTAATAGCCGAATGCCTGAACTATGTCCACTTTTTAATTTTACTGTAACAATTGATTGTATATCTATACAGGTTCCAATGACCGCGATAAATGAATTTTCTGTTGCATTATAATGGTTTTATTTTATGTTTTATAATATGAAATCCTGTATAGATTTGAATGTTACACATGATATTAGTTGATTATTAGTTAATGCCCATACCACGGGAATAGTTAAAAAGCTACTTTAGCCCACTAGAATATGATTCATTATGTATAAACTTACGTAAGTGCTGATAATGATCTGCTGAGTAACTACTTCAGCAATAAATATTACAAGTCCTAAAAATTTCTCGTGAGTTCATACAAAATAAATCACAAGGAAAATAGCAAAAGAGGCCTAGTTATCTCGGATTGGTATAAGAAATTAATCCTATTTGCGGTACTCGTAAAGTGGCTATTTTACCCTCTTGTCCACATCTATAACAACTGAAATGTTAACCCAACAACAGTATTCAACCAATATTTTTCAAAATGTTTTATGTTCTAGTTTAACAAACTGTTCAACTGTTTGCCTACAATATCCCACGAAGTCATTTTTGAGCAATATATTTCCTATCTGATGTTTATGATTGCAAAAGTGTTAAATAATATTTTAGATCCAAATCCACTTTTTTAAGGCCTGTACAGACAAGGGATTTAGGTAAACATGATAAGAAGGAAAAGTGACCGTTACACTGTCCGATCGATTTTTCATTTCGTTTCAACATTGGTGAATCAGTTTCGTCAGTGAACTTGTCGGAAACCAAACCGCGTTTATGAGTAGGAAATGTTGTTGATTTATCGTTCTATAAACCATAATATTGCCTAGATGGTGTTGCAGATTTTTCTGAAATACACAACAGGCTTATAATTTATTAATTAATTTAGCAGAAAAGAATTATTCATTGCGTATTGCATACTAATGATTTTTGATCGGAAACTATTGTATTTTGAATTACACAAATAATAAGTGAAGCATCTTCCCTCGTTTGCGCTGATATTTTATGTTACAGATATATCAGCTAGACCACTGCCCAGTATTTGAAGTAAATACCTAATGTAAATACATCGGTGTAACACAAGATACATTCGCGTAACATGTTATCGTTAGCTCCACTGATCAATCACATTTGTATCGTGTAGAGTACAGCCGCTTTAAATAGTTCCTTTTGACAGCACAAAATGTAATTATATATGATAGAAATATCAATAAATTATGCTACTATAAGATCTGTCAAAACGAGCCTTTTAACCCGGCGTCTGTTTAGTAATTTATTGTCCAAGGCTGTGTATAAATTTATAAAAAGCCTGCAATTTAGTCCGCTGACAAGAATAATCTTGTATCAAATCGAAGACACATTGTGGTTATGGAATGGTTCAGTGTTATTGACTGGAAGTTTCATAATAAAATTATATTATGCTTTATTTTCACATTGTATTTCATTTCAAGATATCCTTATATATTATATTAACACTATGTAATACCTTATGGATGATAATGGAATGGTGCACCCGCCTGCGCTAACGGTTTACGCTGGCGCGAGGATCATAACATAAGCATAAAGTCAGGTCTTTGAATGCAAAACCATGAATGAGTTCATTGGTGCACATTTCTAACAAATCTCTTCCCCCTACTATGAAATACCAAACAGATGATTTACAACATGTATATCTTTAGTCATCAGACAAGTTACACGTAAACTCGACCATGACTGGAGGCGACCCGCTATAAGCGTACCCGATGTAGGTAACCTCGTTCGACATAAAAGACGGAGAGTTGATTGACTGTGTACAAGCACCTCTCGTTATTTTGTAAAGTACATATTTATACAGATTGAAAAAAGGTGCTAATAGCACCACCATATAAAATAAAAATGTATGCGTGTATTTTGAGTGTTTCATTATTCATACAAAATGAAAATTATTTTATACAATTAATATATATATATAGTTTCACTACTACAACTATATATAAAAAACTTGAGAGAAAAAACAAAAAACTTGAGTATAAAATATTATTTTTAATAATTTATTAAAATACAATGTCATCAAAAATAAAAACACAATTAGAAGAACACTAATCAATAGATTTATCAATCATCTGGTACAAGCAAATTGATATTTTTTCCTGTATTTACTTGACCCCCTATAAATGTTTCCTCTTCACCTCTTATTGACAGATTCTCTGTTGTAATAAGTTTCTTCTCTCTGAGCATAGGTGCCTTCACCCATCGAGAGCTGTTACAATTGCCACATGAATGTAAGGGTATGAGATCCAAAGCCACAGTTCGATTATTGCAATCTGCACATTTAAAAAATCTTTTGAATGTATCTAATACTTTTAGAGGATGCCTCTCGTCTTTGCAGAGTTGTGCAGCCGAAAATGCTGTATACTTGCATTTAACACACCTAACTGCTTTACATGCCAGCTTGAAAGTATTCAACATTTTTTCTTCCATAGCTTCCTTCTTCTCTAATTTACTGAAGTACATTTCTTGTTCATTATCTTCATGCTGCTTAATCAAATTTTGATGAGCTGATGTAGCTTCCAGTATCTTTTTAAATCTCTCAGACTTAACACCTTTCAGTTTCATACTGTCCTCCTCATTAATCTTTGGTTTTTTAGTTTCATTCTCCTCACCACCAGAGCTATTTAACTTATCTATTGCCCGTTTCTTTCCAGCTTCTGTTCCTTTTATATTATGAGGGTCTGATTTTTTAATACCCCCACTTTGCTGAATCAGTTTTATAGCATTCTCCTTTCTTCTTTCAGCTGCTTTCTGCCCATAAGATACATTTAAATCTATCACTCCACTACCTTTCAATCCAAATCCTTTACCTAAAGTTGGTGAACTGGCCACTTTATTAGCTAAACTTTGTGATGCAATCCTTGAACTTTGAGGACTAGAACTAGTACATGATAGCTTACTTAATCTTTCTGAATCAGTAACCCTCTGCACTGTAGGGCTATGTAAAATTTCAGTCTTGCTTTTCAAAGGACCCAAGCCATATGGAGCTTTGTTCAACATTAATTTGTCCCCCTCTAAATTATGATAATCACTTAAACTCATTAGTCTGTTTTGATCTCTGTCTTTAATTTTCTTACTATTACCACTTGGCAATGCAGAATATGCTTTCCCACCATATATAACAGTATTTTTACCTAAAACTTTCTTCTGCAAATTAACAAGACCTTTTCCCATAGTGGATGACTGTAGCTCTTGTCTTCTAGAATATTTCTGATACTCCTGCTTTACGTGATAAATACAATGTTCACATTGACTTAAATTAACAAATGCTGTACATGGATCCCCATTCTTCTTCTTACTTTTGCAAATGCCAAAGTCTTTTGATTGCCCTAAAACCATAACCCTATCTGGGCTTTCTACACTGAGACATGCTTCATCATGGCTATTTTCAGATCTATCAAAGACATTTGGATTCAACACAGCTACCACAGTGCCGTCACTTGTTTTCCACAAGTCATTGTACGCTTTTCTGAACAGAAATATAGAAACTGTTTTCATATTGTCTTTGAGATCACTCAATGTCCAAATTATAAATTGGTTACCTTTTTGCGACTGTTTAGTTACACTTTTCCTTACTATAACACCAGCTATCACCCAGTCTTTAGTCAAATCCTCGTTCTCTACATATCTCTTTACTCTTAACATATTTACGGCTTCCCTACCTTGCATGCGGTCTAGAAGTGCTAAACTAGATATTTGCGGTTTAACGATTCTGATACCAAACACGGGGTCTGTATATACGTCTGCAGCTTGTTTCGCCTTTATATCTGGAGCACAGAACAGATTTTTTGTATTTGTTTCTGAAGCAACTTCTACTTTTTTAAATGAGCTACTACGGGCAGCTTTTGTGTCGTCGTTAGTTTTTCGTAATCTAATTTCGAAATCTAGCTGTTTATCGCACTGTTCATGTTCTTTGGTGTCCAAAATCTTTTTCACTTCAGTACCGTAATCGCTATATTTCCTTTCAGTATAATTTCTTCTTTCTTCGTCATCTGATGAATCTGTATCTCCGTTGTGAACTACAGAAGTTAGGGGTGTGCCTGTAACTTTGTCTTGCAAATCATCGGTGTTTTTTTGAAAGATATCAACTTCTCGTACTTCTATATTTACCTTTACACTATCTTCACCCAAATCCGCACATAACAATTCTTCTAATTGTGATAGATCGTCGTTTTCTAACATGATCACTGTTTATAAATTTTATTATTTTCTGATTAGTGCTACAATTTTATTTACGGAAACTAGTTTAATAGATTTGAAGGCGGGAAAGTCATAACAAAAGATCAAAGAATATACTACTCAAGATACAAGTGAAGAATTGTTAGTGTCACTGTTGAGTCAAAAATAAAATCCTAAGTACTGTAATACTGACAGCTTTGACAAGAATGACATTAATACTGGAAGTATGTATGTTGTGATCAATTCTTTTTGACAATTATTGTATTGAAAACCTTTCATGTTTTTCTTCGCACTTCGATTTTTCCTCAAGTTGCAATTATAGAAATAATTTCTGTATTATTTAATTAGTATTTCTTATTCGTGATTAAGTTAAACCACAGGTCCAAGACAAAAAAATAACATGGCTGGTAATTTCCACTTTAATTAAATCGAAATTATTATTTCTCTATTAAGTAAACAATATAAATATGTAAAATTTTTAGATAATCAAGACATGTCTATGACTAATAATGAGGCTGATGAGGTACCAAAACGTGCTTCGCTTGCTATAAATGAAGGGAACGATAAAGAACAGAGTGACACTCCGCCACAGCCTGCGACGCCGCCAGTACAAGAGGACACACAAGAACTAATAGTGGTCAATGAGCATACCCAGGAACTTGACTTAAACCACGGCAGGATCGGAAAGATTGAGAATCTGGAGCCTTTAGAACGACTAGAGAGGTATGTTTTATACCTACATTCTAACTTTCGTTATGGATATTTATCAGTTGACTCATCATATTATTACATTATATTATGACATCATGTAGACAAGGGTATGTGGATGGCAATATTTGTTCATACAGGGTGTTTTCACTAAATGTTAGACATAGACACCTATATAAATACTCAATATAAATATTAAAAAAAAAAAAGAAATACGTTGAGTTTCTTGCCAGTTCATCTTGATTGAATCTTTATACCGATCAATTGACAGTAGGGAAAAAATATTAAATACAACAATTTTTATGTTCATAAGTAGCTAAAATATCTGATATGAATAAAATATTTTATATTTGATTCGATTTAAATTTGGTTTTATTAAGTAGGATTGTATACTCAAACACATTTACATCAGCCTCTTGTGCACATCATATATTTTAATACTGTCCCTATCCAATTTATTCAAATTCCTTCAATATTTGGGGAAATTTGTTCAAACTAATAGCACATTCCAGTCCCATATATGTTAAAATTAATAGGTCATCTACATCACTTCACCAGTGAACATATCGCCTTAGCCACACTATACAAAGGATTGGTTAAAGCAGCCAACTACCTCAATTGAGAAGAACTGGCTGAATGTTCTTATTTTTTTTAATTAATTTTAATTCTTAAATATTACATACCATTTAAGTAGGGTATATATCTAACAAAAATTAAGATATTAAACCCCTTATCTGAACAACAATTCCTGATTTGTTCAGTACATATTCCAAAGAATTGTTTACAGAATACTAGGCTTTATTATTAAATAGTAATAATGCTTTTCCCATTCATGTATGAATAGTTAAATTAGTTAACAAATCCAAAAATGTACTGTATACAGGTCTATTTATTTCTACTCTTTATTACACAAATTACAGAACAAAAAACAATAATAGTATATACATTAACTGATACAAAAGGTGGTCTTATTGCTAAACACTCTCTTCCAGTCTATGTCTTAATTAATTTTTTGGTGCCCTAATTTTTATTTTATTTTGTTTTCATTTGTACTGTTTGTGAATATGAAGTGATCTAAATATATTTGTTAATGTATTATACCAATATATTATGTGATATGAATGACTCATAATTTTATCTTTTTTTTGTTTATAGATTGTACTTGAGATGGAATCTCATAAAGAAAATAGAGGGTCTAAGTACATTGAGTACATTGGTTGAGTTGGAACTGTATGATAACCAGATTCAGATAATAGAGAACTTGGACAGCCTTGTCAATCTGGAGTGAGTTTCTGATATACATTGTTTTTTAGTAAAATTTTAATGCACAAATACAAAAATAAAGGGACCCATATTATATTGTTAATGTAGAGAAACTTCCTAGTAGATATGTTATTTAATTTAATTACATACTAGCTGAATCTATCAGCATTGGCACATGTAAGAGTAAAGTAAAAAGTATACTGATGTGTTAATCAAGAATTATGAACTATCTGTCTGTGTAAACTTCCCTTTGAATCTTTTAGTTTTAAAAACTATCAGGTTCAAAGACAACACTCACAATCTTTCAAATCAATAATAATCAACAATAACGTAACTCACATGGTAATTATCTATGGGAGCTAATTTGAAGTTTATCATTACACAGTACTGTTTTGTGTACTTATACATATCATGAGTAAGTAGTTGGAAGTGTACACAAGTCTTTCCATCCATGTCATAAAATAGAAGTAATGGAATACAACATGAATACTACAGTGTAAGAGAAGGAAAAATATCATCGATCAAGTAATAATTAGGCTGAATACCAAGTGCTCATCTATGAGTGTTTATACAAAAGGAGGCTCTTGTAAAAAGAGACATGATCTCTGTTCACACATAGAGCCTCCTTCATTTTCTAGCGTCATTATAGTACCATTTATTAATATTATCTTCATTCAAATAAATTCAATACAAGCAATTTTGTTTGAATAGTATTTTTTTTTATTCTACCACTCATTAGGAATGCAGACTCATCACAAGAATGAGCAAGAAACTGGTGTCAAAATTCGAACAAAGACTAAGTATTTATTTTTAAATTTCAGAATACTAGATTTATCCTTTAACAGAATCAAGCAGATCACAGGTCTGGAAAATCTGTTGAATTTAACAAAATTGTATCTGAGCTCGAATAAGATTGCAGAGATCAAGAATGTTAATCACTTGCCCAAACTGGAAGTGCTTGAGTTAGGAGATAACCGCATAAGGGTGAGTGATTATACATACAAGTTATATTTATTTATTTATACACTTTACATCAATGATTGTAGACAACATATTTTAACAGCAATCCTTGCACTAAGCTCAAGGCTAGTGTCGCAAGAATCAGAAATCTTTAATTACAGAAACTTTGACTTAAAGCAGGCTCCAGTTCAACTAGGTTCCATAGTATACATGTATATTCCATAACATATTAACAATTATTGTCAATATTATTGTAACCTGTGTAATTTAAAGTCAATTTGTATATTGGTCCTTTTACAGGAAATAAAGAATTTGGAAGGCTTAAAGAGTCTCAAACAGCTGTATCTAGGGAAAAATAAAATAACAAAAATACAGAATTTGGATGACTTGGTGAACCTGGAAATTCTTGTATTACAATGCAACAGATTGACAAAAATTGAGAATCTCAGCCAACTTGTTAACTTGGAACAGCTTTATGTATCTGAGAATGGACTGACTACTTTAGAAAATATGGAGAAGCTGCTCAAACTTCAGACACTGGACTTGGCTATGAACAAGATTTCAATCATTAGAAATATCAGACACATGAGTTGTCTGGAAGAGTTATGGGTGCGTTATTATATTATATTTTCACATTGAAGCTTTACACCTTCTCCCCTTTCACATATCTTTTCTTAGTTATAATGTATTTTTTAATTTATTTTATAAATTTGTTTGTTTCTTAATTATGTTAGTTTGCAGTTGCTTCCACAACTTGTAATACTATCACAGGAATTCCTCTCAAGTTATAATAATAATGCTATAGAAGTTTAAATATAGAAAAAATATCACTAATAAATTGTAGATAGAATTTTAGATAATAGAAACAACATTATTATTGTTATTATTAGTGATAATATTAAAAATTGAGAAATATACCATGTAAAAGTTTATATTGGCCACAATATTACTTATTAACTACTTTTTTTAGCTGAATGATAACCAAGTGTCGGAATGGGGATCTGTAGAATATCTTGTGGAGAACAAAAAATTGGTAACTGTATACTTGGAGAAGAATCCGATAGCGTCCGACGTGGCGTACCGGCGGAAACTTAAGTTATTGCTACCATCGCTGCAGCAGATCGACGCAACTTTGTGTAGATAAGATATTTGTATATTGTAATATATTCATAGTACATTAGTCCTTATTGGCCATTAATAAATTACGTCACATGAATTTCATGACTTTTTGACTCTGTCCTTGTCTCTAGTTCGTTTCTAGTCATAATTGTGAGACTAACCACAACTATAATAGTAGATCAATTGGAAATATTTTAAAATTTATTAATAGTATTAGATTTTTGTTTATAATATTTAGATATATTAGATTTTGATATGAGACATAATAAAATTTAAGGCCCGTAACATTTAAATCATATCAAATCAAATCAAAATATATTTATTTATGTAGGACATTTTCACACCTATGTGTAGCTTTCTCTGTGTAGTTTATGGTCACACTTTGATCCCCTTCCTCCCCCTCAACATGTGCCGTAAGGTATTTATGGCCCGTAATATACATGTTCTAGTAGAGTACCGATGTAGTGAAACATTACATGTTCAGTATAATCGTTGAATAAATGTCCGTTATAACTTTAAACTATGATATAATATTAAATATTATTATTGTATCTTCATGGAAGTGGCATTAACAACTATTACGGCCTTTTTCCTGTTTTTTTTTTGGTGTGGAAAAATCTTCAAAAGAATGTCTCCCCGCCTGTAGTGATGAGGGGTAGGGCCCTACCCGCTCTTTCTTACCCATTAAAAAGACAGTGTACGAGAGCAATTGCCTAAGTCACGACGATTATTACTACCTGTCACAACTTGTAATTTCATTATTCTATTAGGTACATATTACCACTGTCTGATATGTATGATATATATATATACATATCACTACTGTATCGTATGTATGATACGACAGAACAATTATGTTAATTATTTACACCAACTGCCAAAAACTCGCTTGTCAAGTCGAGGCCGTTATATTACAAATCCATACATACGGTACGGGAATTCGCTCGGCAGCTAGTGTTAATTACTTGATTCATATTATTATTATTTTATTCCAGTATTTATTGCTACGAGATTTTGTTTTAAACTATGACTATATAATCTGAAATTAATTTAAGACGCTAGTTGTATAAATATTATACAATTTAAAATGTAAAACATTTTTTAAATTAAATTTGTGGTAAAAAAGATTTTACCGCATTTGTTCATAGTCGACTGATTGTAGGATGGACACAGAAAAAAATATGAAATCAAAATTGCATTTGCATTATATCATATGTAAATATGTCCTCTTGAAATATAAGTACAAGAAACTATTTAAATGAAGTGAGCATGGAGAATAGCTGGAATAATGCTTGAGGAAGCCTGAAAGTAGTCCTATTTCGTACTGTGACATGAAAGTATGTGATGATAGAAAATCTACGTTTCAGATACACACTCCAAAGATCGTGGCATACATACATAAACGTAAATAAATGGTGGAATTGTATGAAATGTGTGAATGCTTGTGGTATACAAGTGGGAGCACTAAATTGAGAGAAGCTATAGAAATTTACCTTCAAAGATTATCAGGGTAAGGGATTATTAGGAAAATGAAAAACTAATAAAAAAACTATTCATTTCATACTGAAAAAAATCATTACAACCACTTTGCATTAATGTGCTTAACAAAAGGCGACTTTGTCGCGTTGTAGGCGTTTGTCGTCTAACTGTAAAAAAGTAATAGTACATTTAGCGTTTAACACCATCGATATATGTGGTAACAATTTGACATAGATCCATCTGTCGTATTCGTGAAAATCTTCCAATAGTATTCTGATTCTATCATTGTAAATGTTTGTGTATGCCAAATCTTAAAAGACCTAACAAATCCAGATCAATCCTGCAACACTATTTGTGAAAAGGAATGTTATAGGTCAAAATATGAAAACAATTTTTGAACCTTTCATAGAAACCACGGGATTGCTTCTGGCACTATTTTTGTTACAGTTTTGGGGAATGTAGAGAATCTTAATACAATTTGGTCCTAATATTGATTATTTGTCTTAAATAACAATAAATTATAAGACTATATTAGTCTATAAAATGTTAATGTGAATAAAATTATACATTTTCAACTATACATACCTACTTCTAACATTAAAATATTATAGCTGAATATATATGAAGGCGTCGAATTCCGAATTCTATTTGTTGCTATAGTATCTGATATCAGTCCTACCACTGCTTAGTATTGTAATAGATTTATGTTTAGTGAAATTTCTAATATTTTATTAATAGTAATATTCATACACGTTGTTCAAACTGGATATATACCGTAATAATTATTGTTCACGTGCTTTAATATTAATGACAGTGAATTTAAATTTGGATTCATGTTGTTACACTTTTACTGTCACACCGCATTCTATCTATAGCATAATTTAGATTATAAGTGCCTGTATGCAATTTGTCCATAGAATATTATCTATTTTGTGTGTACATATATTATATACATATGTATAATGACTTTCTTTGCCGTACGGAGAAAATTAGGGCATATACTTTATATAAGGAGAAGTAGTATAAGTAGTGAAACCACAAATAGAACAATTAGAATTTTGTCTGAAAATTAAGTAAAAGACTCACCCTGCCTTTTGTGACGAAATGACAACATACGGGAAAATATCATATTATTCAGTTTTTAGTCCAAAGAAATATATAATTCAAAGAATTGTAATAAAAAATGAAATTACTTTCCGCCGAATAAATAAAGTAACAAATAATAAAAATTATAATAACCATCAAATTGTTTTCATATAAAACAATAGGGTTTTTTTCCCGTGCCAATTTTTCTCAGTACGGGGAACAAACTCGTGATCCATAGTATATTATGTAGATTGAATATCTGTTGAGTGGAGTAGACGTAGATATTTACTGATTGTGTATTGTCTTCTTATGAAACAACTATTTGTAAAACAGTTAAATATATTAATCTCAAAATATGTAACTATTTTTATTATATATACTCATATATTACAGAGTGTTCGGATTAATACCAGTCGTTAATTGACCTCCACGCGATTGACCCCCTGGAAACCATCGTGATAAATTCCTGGTGAATTTAGCATTATGTGCTAACTGACCTGACCTCATACTCATTATCCTCTCCTTATCATCCGCCACCAGTGCTCCGCCGACATAAACCGTTAGGCTAGGCGGGGCCATCATCCCATTATTATCCATTAAAGGAAACGTGGATATTAGGCTGCATTACCAACCCCCCTTCTTCCCTTCATCGGGAGATTAACTGGTTATGTTACAGCTATAACCTGTTTCCAGGCAGTAGCGGAATTTCACAACACCCTGACTCTGAACAAGGAGCCTGTTCGAGGAGTGCTGCGTCATCCCACGCAGATACTGCCTAGAGATATCAACACTATGTATTATTGTACTATGGTTATGTTACAGCTATAACCTGTTTCCAGGCAGTAGCGGAATTTCACAACACCCTGACTCTGAACAAGGAGCCTGTTCGAGGAGTGCTGCGTCATCCCACGCAGATACTGCCTAGAGATATCAACACTATGTCATGGACATGTAAATAATTCTATTTATATAATTTTAAAATTAAAATATATATTTGATTGAAAGTTTATTTGTAGCATTATATTACTAACTAGTTGTACCCGCGACTTCGTCCGTGTGGTCTTTAACTTTATTTTCTAATAGGTTTCTCGTAAGGTAGTTTCTAATACCTATAATACCATCTCTGCTTAGCTTAGAACTAGATCCCTTCATCCCCATATTACAAAACCGGTCAATGATACCAAAAACGTTCCAGCTTACGTCGATCGTATGTAGATAAGTAGGGAATGACAATATCACTTTCCCAATGATAATGAAAGTGTATCTCAGTCACTAATGACCTTGACATACAACAGTGTTAAGCGACGCGCCGGCCGGCGAACGAACGAAGCTACTCACCCGTCAGCTCATTTCCATAACAAGAAAAATATAACCTATACGCATCCACTAAAAACAACTTTACTAGTCTATAAAGTTATTCCGAGCGGTATCACACTGTGAGTGCCAGTATTTAAGTGTTATTTACCAGTAAAGTAATCTTTGGATTCTTCCCTGCCAGTAAAATAAAGTTTTGGTGACTATGAAATCTTACATTGAATATGGACCTAATTCAGACTTTCCGATAGAAAATCTACCCTATGGTGTATTCACTTCGCCTAAAAATGTAAGTTTTATCTCATTTTACTAATAAAATAGTTCACAGTATATTAAAAGTCAATGAGTATTTATAATACGTTCAATTTAAAAAGTAGGTACTTTATTAGGCAGTTTATTAGCCGTTTTGAAAAAAGAGATACCTATTGAAATCTATTGTTATCATTGCTTCGCCCTTGCTTATTTTATTGTTACTACTGACATGTATGTATTTTTACCCATGAATACCTCTATATCAGCAGTAATATGACGATTTATGCATATCAACTATTATAAACTTCATAAATTGTATGTACGATTTTGATGATTCTTTTTATTTATTGTGAATGTAGGCAATATTAACATGTTTGTAGGATGTCAAACATATCGGAGTAGCTATTGGAGACTGGATATTAGATCTAAATGTGGTGTCACATCTGTTTAATGGACCTTTACTGAAAGACAAGCAACATGTATTCAAGGTAAGTAATCTATAAAGTATATAAACAAGGTAAGTAGTATACCTACTTACTATGTAAGATAATATGTATCTGTCTGATATTCCTAATAGCCATATGGGTGTAAACTCAATAACGGTCGGAATTTGATCACCATTAGAGAAGGTCGTAATGGTAGTCAAGTTTCCGCACTGAATATTTGCGGTCTCACATATGCTAATTGTCGCCGAGTTAAACAAAATAATATAAATCCATTAGGTAATTAGCAGCAGCAGCAGCACCTAGCAGTGTTACAAAGTATTAAAAAAAATTGTAAAAGTATATACTTATAACTTCCAAAGAATATAGTTATTAAAGAGGAGAAGTACTTATAAAGGAGTTTCTCTCTTTGCAATAATTTAAAGTGCATCTCTAATATCTTACATCGAGATTCATACGTATCACACGTATGAATCTATACTTCATAATTTAATAGTGCTTCCCGTCCCCCAATTTTAGACACTTTAAAATTAGTTAAGTATCTATACTAGTTTGCTGGTACTTTGCCACTTCCGATCTACCCCCCGTCCAATTCAAATGATCGAAATTACGACCGCCTGACCCGAGGTTCGAACCCACAGCGGTGCCCTCAGAATCAAGTCGTATCCGTCAGGCAGATGACCTTCAGTCCTTCCGCAGGTTTGAAGTGCCATCTGCACTCACCCCGGTCGTTCGGTTAAAGGACAACGCGGCCAACAAATACTGTTTTTGAAAAAATGAATACTTACTTTGTACTTATTGTAAATAACGACGATTCATAATTAAATAGGCAACAGAGTTAATAAACAACATATTGACCGAGTATGCAAATCAGTTGTTTACGAATAAAATCTGAATTAAATAACAGAATATTCCACTAGATTCAATAATATGTGTTTCACTGTTGTCGCCTAGTGGTATACAATCAATATTTAATTATTATTTTTAATAGACGTACATGATAATAGTATGGTATTGGTACCTGCCTACTAACGGTTTATGCTGGCGTAATGGTACCCACCATTGAAAGATAATGGGATAAGAACACAGTTAGCCCATCGTGGTGGATTCCCCAGGAATGAAACATGATAGTTTCCATGGCAAACCGCGTTTAGGTGAATCTGACATGGTACATTGTTAGCGACAAGTTCACTAAATTAATGTACCCACATTATTATTGGGTTGTTTGGGCTATTGTCATATATTTGTAGCACCTGTAGCACTGCGACCTACATAGATCTATTGTGCTCGCCCTTTTTCAAAGTTCGCTACCTAGACCCGTCAGGGACAAGAATTGAAGGATATTCTTAGGAGCGATGGTTTTTATCTCCTCGGGAAAGAGTGTAAACTTTCCAAAGGAGATATTTCGTTTATGCATGAGTGGGCTACAACCACATAGGATGTGTAGCGGCGTTCGTGCACGGCGCCGCGCGCGGCGGCGGCGGATGTGTAGCTCTTCAGTTTGGCAGAATCTGCAGATTCATGTCGTGCATAGGCCTAGTTTAGCCATTGCTTGTTTAATTTGCAGTGTCCTGTTAGGACCCTAGTCGTCATGCATATGTTGTTTTTGCTCAATAGCAATAGTCTATTGGAGTATTTGTTCGAGTACCCACATAGTTAGCAGTAAAGTTTTATAGATACTATTCTACATTACCGATAGTCCCCTTTTCCAGTTATTGTTACACATCCACATTACAGTCGAGTAATTATCCATAAGTAAACAATTACAAGTCGGCCATGTCATCTTGGTCCAATCTGGACTATTTAATGTATGTTGGACTCCAGTCTCCGCAATTAGCCTCTCATTCGGGCCGTTGTGCGTGCAGCCAATCTGGACTATTTGAATTTAAATATATTAGGCAAAAATTTAACAATAATTATTTAAATACAATGACATGAAAGAGGCGTTTCTTACACACACATAGACTCTGCCTGTGGTCAACGTCGTTCTGATGGAATGTGAGAAGTAGAGTAGAAAATAAAAAGAGCATATTGGTGTAATGCAAATAGAGGACATGACTCCAAGAGCACGCAACTGTCTCTGTATACTGCATAAGTAATCAGGCGTGAAGAAAGATGTAATTATTATTATTTTTAGGAGGAGAAACTTAATGGATTTATGGGTTTGACGAAATTACACTGGATTGAAGCTAGAGGCACACTTCAAAATCTCTTAGATGTTTCCAATACAACATTGCAGAACGATAATGAACTCAGATCAAGGTAATCATCTCACTATGCGGTCACTGCTGACATGAGCAGCACAACATTGATTGTAGCTCTTGTATCACATGTACCAATTCCTGTAATTTCACTACCATATCTCATGGTCATCAAACGGAAACATAGTTTGAAAGCAAAAAAGTTGCTAGTTGCTGTAGAAATAGTTAAGTCAGACTGGTATTCAAAATACGAAAGGAACATTTTCTATAACGTCTGTACGTTATACAAAATTTTCCTTTCGTATTTTACTGTTAGAAAAAAACGCACAAACAAAAAATTGCAATTAATATATATCCGAAATGTATTTGGAAAAAGAAATGATAGCTACTTATGTTAAAACTCTTATTTATATTAATTACGACGAATAATAATATCTCTACTTGGTTTATTAGATTTACTAGATGTCCCAATGCAAGTTCAGAAATATTTATTTCATTAAAAAAATACAGTACAATTACATTTTCAGTACAAAGTAGTATTACCTATTTATTGAATTAATTTGTGTTTCAGAGCATTCATTAAACAGAGTGAAGCGAAAATGCACGTTCCAGCTGAAATCGGGGACTATACAGATTTTTATTCGTCTATACATCACGCCACTAACGTTGGCATCATGTTCAGAAGTAAGGAGAACGCTCTCATGCCGAACTGGTAAGACATTATTATATTGAGGTAGAATATAAATATGAAGGTTGTCGCGATAGAATTTAAATATAGTTCCTGTGGCATGCTGCGGCGTACCGAGTACAACGGCGGATCCAGGAGGGGGGTCATAGGAGCCATTATGGGAGTTAGGGAGACCTAAGCCTACGACCTAAGGATTTAGGTGACCACTAATTGAACATAATGATTTTATTTATACATTTTGTCACCATACAGATTTTATTAATATCTTTAAGTACAGTATTTACATAATAAAATACCTACTTATTACTTGTATCTATTGTTATCAAAATTAAATTATAAGTTCTTGACTTGACCACGACTATGTGACTCCCTCCTGGCGCCAAAGCTGGATCCGCCCTTGACCGTGTACGCGCTTTTGGCTTTCGGCGTACACCGTGGAGTTGTTAGTGAGTACAAATCTTACATGTCCCACCCCTTCCCCCGGACGAATTTGACCTATTCGAACGTTTTCTCCGCGTTAAAAATAAGGTTACCAAGGTAGACTTTCTAGTCTAAAGTTTACAAAGACGTGCAGAATTTTTCTACAAAAATAACCTTCTAACCTATGGAGGGCCATCAGATAGCTTGATTTCCATCATAGCATCGCAATCGCAATTATTTTAAAGTTTTAATTTCTGCAGCCGTTTTAACGTGAAAGCTAACACAAACAGATGGTTTTTGTATCGTCATGATATTAAGATTTTATTATATATAGAGACTAGCTGACGCGCACAACTTCGTCTGCATCCCCCAAATTACATAATATCTCTTTAAATTAAAGCCCATGTGTTAAATTTTACAGTAATTTATATTACTGTAAAATTTCATCAAAATTCGTTCTGTAGTTTTTGCGTGAAAGGGAAAAACATCCATACTCACAAACTTTCGTGTTTATAATATTAGTAAGATTAATAAGGTAACAAGTTAGATATTACAATTTTTTGTTTTCACTTTAGGAAGCATCTGCCGGTTGGTTACCACGGCCGATCTAGTTCTATAGTAATATCTGGCACACCCATACGTAGACCGTACGGACAAACGCAGCCAGTTGAAGGTACATATAATAACAGGATCTGTGCAGACGAGGTACTATTGAGATAATTTTGTTTCATCTAATGTAAACGAAATTTAGCTTAAATGTCTCTCCTCTGCGCAGGCTTTATCAGTTAAGTCATTATTCAATTTTAATGCTCATATGGACATATAGTTTTAAGCTTTGGGGATTCACAAATCATTATAATATTGAATTCTAATAATCAAGAGCGCTACCAAAATTAAGTCCTAAAAACTATAAACAATGCATCTTGGTACATAAAACACATGATTATATAGAAATCCTAAATGTATGCGAGGAAATAAAACGCAGATGCAGCAGTCGAAAAGAAATAAATGCAGAAATAAATACCATCAGCTGACATGTATTACACCACATTACAACCTGTTGACTATTATCTATCTAGGTATCTAATATATTGATTTAACTTGATTTGATAGAAAAAAAATCAGTAATTAGTAATTTTTCCCGGTTCAAAACCGGGTGGGTATTACTAATTAATTTTTGTGAGCGTTCTACTCCTTAACCTACCCTCGGGACCGCAGCTGACTTTTAGTTAGCTTCATAACACAACTTTCATAAGCTACAGTTACCACTTACCATCCGGTGAGCTCTGAGTTCGTTTGCCATTTTAGTTGCGTTTAATAAACCAACTAAATTAAGGTGCTGATCCCCACTTCGGCCCGTGTCGCCTGATGGACTTCGAGTTAGAAGTGGCGTGCTTCGTGGGAGGCCCGCCTACTGCACTTGGTCAAAGGGTCACTGCCAAGGAAGCTGAGGAACATATCTTTGGATTTGTACTCATGAATGATTGGAGTGGTAATTTAATATTTGTAAAACTTATGTCAAGTGACAAGTTTTGTTTTTCTCAATTAAAATTAAATTCCTATATCCATACGTCGATTGTATCAGCAGGAGACTAAAGCTTGCTGAAGCATAAGTAGCCACACGAACTATAAAAATTGCAAATAATAATTATATATAATAATAATTCTATTTATTCCTTCTCACAAATATTGTCCAACAACACATTGGGAACGAATACATACATGTAGTATTTTAGATAATATGCAAATTGACTTTCATTTTGTCAAAGTTTAGAATACAGTTTACAATGTGAACTGTATTCAAAAGTTAATATTCAATGTTATATATAATTGCTACGACTAACATATTTTGTTATATTTTATAGCCAGAGACATCCAGAAATGGGAATATATACCGCTGGGACCTTTCACAGCCAAAAACCTTGGGACCTCCGTGTCCCCGTGGATTCTAACCGTGGAAGCACTAAAACCATACGCCGTGGATAACTTCCCACAGAATCCCATACCCTTCGACTATTTAAAACATGATGATAAATTCAATTTCGATATCAGATTGGAGGTAGATATACAATGTGAGTGAAATATATATATTCCATCTTATCACTAGGTCTCCTGAAGAACCAGGTTTATTCAAAAGACCATATAGGGTTGCCTAACAAGATTTATAGGGCGGCCTAGCTCCTGGAGTAATGGCTAGGCTGCCCTTTGAATTGTTAGGCAGAAATTAAATCCGTCTTTATACATATTCTTTGCTTGCTTTACGATTTGTGTCAAAATTTGTATTTAGATGAAGTTTTGCTTTTTTATTTTTCTTATATATAAAATTCTCATGTCACAAGTTAGTTATTAGTTAGTTGTTAGTACCATACTTCTTGGCCGTTAATTCCGAAACGACTTGGCGGATTTTTATCCAATTTTATATGCATATTCAGTAGGTCTGAAAATCGGCTACAAACTACCCCTAAGTGATAAGGGCTGTCCCTAACTATAACATTTCTTTTTATTCTTAGGAAACATTTTTTTAATTGTGGTAATAAAAAATACACACAAGCCTGAAAATCTGGGGTTCCCTTCTACCATCAACCCCTATTTTTGAATAGCGATTTTATATTATATGACATATGTATTATATATATTTATATGGTAGAACAGCGAGGTCTGCTAGTATGTACATAAATATACATGGGTGTACTTCCTAAAAAATATATACATAAACACCATTAAAATATATTTAACAAAATAAAACACCGTGTTAAACTCGATCGCCCTGGTAGGTACAAGTAATTAATGTACATACCTACTTTGTTATGTATAATTTTAACGTACTTTTATTTTTCATATACAGCTGAAAAATCACCAGTTGTAACGACTATAAGTCGCTCGAATTATAAATATTTGTACTGGACTGCGAAACAACAACTCGCTCAGCAGACCGTCACTGGCTGCAACTTAAGACCCGGAGATTTGCTGGGTTCCGGCACCATTAGTGGAGATGTGAGTAATGAATTATTAAAGGATAGAAATAATCTTTAATGAAATAAACTTAATATAAACGCTTTTGAATAGTCCTATTTTAGATTGTACCTACCACTCAATCGAGCAGCAGAAGAAGAATTAGCAGAAAACTTGACTTATAATTATTACTTATTGTTCTCTGTTTACCTTTGATGTTTTTTTTAAGAAATAAAACTACCAAATAGCACTAATGCATAAGAGTAAAGACAATAGATAATAGTAAGTATTTCTATAGGATGTAATAAGGCAAACGACTGAACATTTAGGATGTGTCTCTGGATTTAATACTGCCTCTGAGGTATATAAGCCCACCAAATGTCATATGTAGTAACTGTAATGAAATGTAAAGTATCAAATATTTGATACATATACAAGAAAGTTCATCATTATGTCCCAACTTCAAATATATATAAATGTAATTACAATACAGTAATTACAATATATTACTTCTAAGGAAAATATTCGTATATGAAATTATTTTTTAATTTTTACTACCTAATATTTTTTGTGTTTAGACTCCGGACTCCTACGGAAGTATGCTCGAAATTTCGTGGAAAGGTACGAAGCCCATCCGTCTTCTCAATGGAGAAGAACGAAAGTTTCTTCAAGATGGCGACACTGTCATACTCCGTGGTTACTGCATAAACGAAGATGGCGTCAGAATCGGATTTGGAAATTGCAATGGAAAATTACTACCAGTTTTATCGTATAGTGAATAAATAATATAAATATTATCAAACATATGTATAACTAAATGTACTATTATATCATGTAATATATTTAGTAGAAATTGATTATATATTTGTTTCATTTAATTCCAAATTATATCGAGGTAATATAAATTTTACCTAGAGTAAATAAAAACATATTTTTACTATAAGAAAAATTCAGTGTAAAAAAATCATCAGTATCTATAATATCTAAAAATATTCGGTTCTGTTTATGTATTTTCGTTTGCATAGTATAGTAAGTATAGTTTTTTTTAATCATGTGGAAAAAACTAAAAATGCTATACCCTACTGGAGAGGGTGTGTTTCTTACCATTTTTATACCCTCATGATGGCAAACAGGCATACGGCCCGTCTGTTGGTAAGCGATTACCGTACCTATGGTTACCTACAACACTACAGGTGTCACGTCCGCGTTGCCGACCCTTAAGAAAGCATAATATAGGGTATATTATTCTTTAAAAATGTGTCTCGCATGCTGTAGTCTCGAGAAAAACCCTACTAAGAAACAATACTTACATACGAACGCCATAGCCGGAGTCACGTTGTCGCGTTAGTGATGACTAGGATAGGCTTGTATTATTTTAATTTGTTAGCAACCTTTTGTGTATTAAAATTAGTGGTATGATGCTGAAGATAACTAAATTCAAAATTTCGCCAGACGATGTATCAAAGTGCGATGTATGATTATTAATAATTATTATGCAAAAAATTTTAATATTGGGTATGTACCCATTCTACGGCATTTTATAATACTTGGTATTCTGTATCTACGATTTTTAATGTCAATTTAAACTGACAGATACCGTCCGTCACCTCCACACTGTTACACGAGACGTCAAAATTCGGTTTTGGATTTGTATTTGAAAATAATACGCAAGTTAATATGATTATTTAAGAAATATCCAAATAATCCAATACAATTTGTCGTATTTAGATTTTGTGAACTACCTATGATTGTGTTTTATAATGGTTTGTTATTGTTGTGTAAAGGGTTGTAGTAACAACAGTAATGATAAAAAGAAAAATCCAAGTAATAACACTTCGTTTCATGCGTTAGTATTACTTTCTACAAATTACATTTTAAAAGAATTTAAGTCTTTAAAACAAATGATAAAAACCGGTCTATATCTTGTATTCGTCGGTATAGAATTTTCAAATTTTAAAACCGAATATTAATACCATTTAAAAATAATTATATTGCTTGTTTAAGTAAATCTTATAAGTAATGAGTTATATGACGGACTTGATCTATTTCTATGAGTGCTATTTTGTCCCCGGGTTTATATGGTCTATGGGTGCCACACAGTGGAGTAATAATACAATATGAGGTTCCCAGAAAATTAAAATCACACCAACATTCAAAGGACATACTAGAAAATAAAAAGATTAAAAATAAAAGCGAGAACATAAGCTGGTCTTACTGCTAATGCAATCTCTTTCAGACAAACTTTGAAAAGAAAGTATGAGTGGAGTAAGTCACTAAAAAATTCATTTACATCCTTTTTACAGTTTCCCAACAAATCAGGAGCAAAGGATTAAATGGTTGAGGGCGATTGGTCGTCCAAACTGGGAGCCTCCCAGTCACGCGCGTATATGTAGCGCACATTTCGACTATGACCAGATCAACCACGACAGTTGCCGCACCAGAATCAAAGATGATGCATGTCCTGTTAATGCCTTACCTGTAAGACCACTAAATGTTGGGTTACCACCTAGACAGACACTGATACCTAGAATCCATATTTACATCTTACATAATTTCCTTTTGAAAAAATATTTCATTTTTATCAATGTATAATACAGCATAGTATGTATAATAGTATATACCAGTGGTCACTACATTCTCACTAATTTTATTTAAAAATTAATCTGTATTTTTCAAATCCTTTACAAGATCTTTACTTTTAAAGAATAAAAGCTGAATTTCTTGTCATTTCTTTTTAGCTTGATATCACTTGGAACTGACAGTAGATTCGACCTGTCATAAGAGTCTGTAATAGACCTACATGAATAAAATTATTTGATTTCATTTTATTTCAACTGTCTAGTTTAGTCAAATGTAATTTTGTTTCAAATAGCAAGCTACTAAACATTGATGTTTAGACCTCAAGATCTTATGTGGGGTCTCTCCCATTACACAAGGACACTGCACAAGACACACGAGACACAAAAAACTGTGCAGTGTTGATTTTTCAAGCTTTCCAGTCACTTTCAGTTTCTCCTTATTTATACTTCACTTTTGTTTCTCTATGAAGAAAAGAAATTGTTATTTTCTAATATTGATTGCTATTATAAATATTTGTATAGCCTAACTCAAACTTTGAAGCAACATTTGTGGAGGTATGCAGAATCTGTTTGGCAACTGACCTCAAAATGTACAGTTTGGAGAACAGTCCACTTAAGGACTACCTACAATCTATTGCTGGATTTAATGTAAGCCCTATTGCAATCTTTTATATTAAATCTATTATTTATTAGACACCACACAATTATACATTGCACAGAGAAAAAAAGATTATAGAAATAGAAAAAACTGTATACACTATGTTGGAAATTTGATATAAGATTATGATTCCTCTTTTGAATTGAGTTAATTTAACCCAATTCAATATTCTATTCAATTAAATTTGACAATTTAAAAAATTCTTTTCAATTTTCAACTAATATATCCATCTTAGAAAGTTGTTTCATATTAATGCTACAATTTGTGATAATCACGTCTTGCATATAAACCCAAACTACTTATTTATAGTAATTTTAGAAAGAACTAAGATATGATACTTTATTTGTAATTAAAACAATTCCTAAAAAATCCTTAAATCTAAAACTACTTGACAGATACTAAAGTCTTTTGACAGACCTAACATGGTACTTTATCAAATAGTAATCACCCGGACTAGCTCCAACTTCAAATGGGTATTTCAATTCATTTACATTTACCTTAACAAATTACACATTAACCAGAAATCAATGTTGATGTAGGAATACTGCATGAAAATCTGTTCAGTTTCTGTTAAATATTACAGGCAAACAGTAACTATAATATAGAAGGCCTACCACAATTTGTGTGCTACGAGTGTGCTGCTCACCTCACAAGGTGCTATAATCTTATTGAGAGAAGTATGACTGCTCAAGCAACTTTGTTGGACATTTTTGCCCAAAATGGTCAAGTAAGTGTTATGTATAATACACAATTTTTCTATTAATATTGCATAAATAGCAGTGCATATATGTAATTTATATGTTATTAACTGTTAACTTCGAGTGCTTTTATTGAGTTAAAAATACTATATGAATATCCCAGAACAGTAGACAAACATTCTATTTATAAAATAGTAAGGATTGAGAAATCTTAGTAATGTATAATTTTTTATTAAAGGTACCTAATTTATTTATTTGTGATGATAGATCAAAAATATATATTTCACAATACCATTAGCTTAAGACATCATCGGCTGACTCACTAATTAAAATAAACTTTTATTTCAGATAACGAAATCTCTCATCAGAGCTAGAAATAGGGAAAAATTAAATCTTAATACAAAATTAAAATATAATAGTGTAATACCTACTTATATATTAGAGTATAAGTATGATGATATAAATAAAACCTCTTACCTCACTCACAGTGAATTTGTAATTGATGATCATAAAATTAATGAATATTCCTTTGAATTTAAAGATCAAACAAAAAATCATACAGAAATAAATGTTACAATTGATGTAGAAACTAAAATAAACAAATCAAATTATGAATATTCCGATGATGATGAATTTGCAAATGAAATGATGAATTACCCAAATGACACTAAGAGTGATAGTGATAATGAAAAAAATGCAAGTATAAATATGCCTACTACAAACATAGAATCAAGCCTTAATATAACATCAGCTGAAAGTGTCATCATGAATGAGTGTATTAATAAGAAAGTAAGTTAACCATTTAGCTATATAAGCATGATTGAATCATAATTAATAATAATTATACTAATGCAGCTAATTGATTACTGTGGCAATTTAATGGTAATTTGTAATTTAATTTGTGTAATATTTTATGTGAAAAATGTTTAAGATTAGGTAATAATAAGATGTTAAGACAACAAGCGCCATCTAGTCCTAAGTTAAGCGAGCTAAAGCTTCTGTAATGGGTACTAGCAGGGAGCAGGAAATAATTGGCACATCTAAAATTTATTATTATATGTTTTTAATATTACTATTTTACTAGTAAAATATCCTGAATGTCTAATATTATTTTATTTTATATAAACCAGGAAGAATATTTTAAACAATATCAAAATGAAACAGGGAAGAAGAAATCAAGAAGAATGTTGTCTGATGGTTTGACACCTAATGAAATAGAGATGCAGAAATATTTTAATATTATCAAACTAACGGTAAGTTATGTTTGTTGTTTGTGTTTTTTTAGGGCAGAACATGGGATGTTATTATTGTCGGCCAACATAGTGGGTTTCGTATATGTATATCAAGAAAAATAGTATATACTGCTAGTAATAATCTGGCCACCACGTCTAGTCGCGTGTACAAGCAATGGTAGTTCACCCTATTTATTGTTTATTTAATGAATTAATTAATAAAATTGAATGAATTGAGTTGAATCTTACTTAACTTAAAAGTATGAATAATAATAGTAATAAGTTAAGGACAATTTACACAGCGCCATCTAGACCCAAGTTAAGCTAGCTAAAGCTTGCTAGTGTGCTAGATTACCGATAAAAAAACATAGATATATATATTTTTATTTATACATAGAAAAAACCCAGACCGGTACAAACACTCATACTCATGAATACAAATGTTTTTGCCGTGGGAGGAATCGAACCCGCGACCGCTAGACCACCGAGGCCGTCAATGAATGATGAACAATTGTTAATATATCGATTTACACCTATAGTCACAAGAGCAAATTGAAGAATGGACAAAGTCAATGGAGAATACGCCGTGGAAAAGCGACACAGTGTATAAATGTGAAGTGTGCTCAAAAATATTTGCCCATATCTCCACTTACCGCTCTCATATAATACGCCATGATCCAGTAGGTATATACATTTGTTTATATTACTGTATATATATTGTTATTTCTGTCATTGTTTTGGAGCTGAAAATTGAATACTAAACTGATACTATATCAACCTTTTTTATTCCTCTGAAGGTTTACACTTACTGTTTGTCAAGTATCAACTAACTAGTATTGTACCAAGGTTTTGTTAGTTTTGGTTATTATGAATAAAGTTTTCATCATTCATAATCTATATCAATATTTCTAGTAACCCTAAAACCCTTCTAATATTATACATTTAAAAGAAGATGGTTGTGTGTTAGTACTTGTATATTGTTATATTCTGAAACTTCTTTCGTCCTATGCCTAGGTGAACGTCTCTATAATATAAATTTGATTAAAAAAATATATGAATTTTCGAATAATAGATACTTTTTTCAGAGTCGTGGAAAAGCCGAATGTCCAATTTGTAAACTGCGTTTCAAGAACATAGTAGTCGTTAGGTCCCATACAAATCGCGCCCACGGCAAGAAGTTCCATTGCAAGTCCTGTCCTAAAGTTTTCAGTAACGTGTAAGTATTTTGTATTAAGGAAATTGATTTAATCTGAATCATTTTATATCCTTAATGGATAAACTGAATATAACAATACTGAAAATAACAGTCATATATCCGGCATGCGAAGCAATATAACTGGTTTATCATATACGGAGTGTTCATATATCTATATTATACAAAAGGGTCAAATGTATAGGTATAAAATTTTCTTTATAGGTAATATATAATAATAAACAATTCTCTTAAAATATGACAGCGCAGTAGCGAAAAAGCACCAGAAGTGGCACTCCGGATACCAGTACTCTTGCGGGTATTGTAGCTTCCGTAGCGTGCACGAGTCCGCGCTCGGCAGCCACGTGCGCGTCCAGCACCGACACCAGCTGGCCTGCACACGCTGCGGCCGCCCCGCCGCCACCAGCCGCGGCCTGCGCCTGCACCGCGCCGCCGCGCACCACGCGCTGCAGGTCAGTACTCCCGCACCGCGACCAGCAGGCGGCCACGTGCGCGTCCAGCACCGACACCAGCTGGCCTGCACGCGCTGCGGCGACACCAGCCGCGGCCTGCGCCTGCACCGCGCCGCCGCGCACCACGCGCTGCAGGTCAGTACTCCCGCACCGCGACCAGCAGGCGGCCACACGTGCGCGTCCAGCACCGACACCAGCTGGCCTGCACGCGCTGCGGCCGCCCCGCCGCCACCAGCCGCGGCCTGCGCCTGCACCGCGCCGCCGCGCACCACGCGCTGCAGGTCAGTACTCCCGCACCGCGACCAGCAGGCGGCCACGTGCGCGTCCAGCACCGACACCAGCTGGCCTGCACGCGCTGCGGCCGCCCCGCCGCCACCAGCCGCGGCCTGCGCCTGCACCGCGCCGCCGCGCACCACGCGCTGCAGGTCAGTACTCCCGCACCGCGACCAGCAGGCGGCCACGTGCGCGTCCAGCACCGACACCAGCTGGCCTGCACGCGCTGCGGCCGCCCCGCCGCCACCAGCCGCGGCCTGCGCCTGCACCGCGCCGCCGCGCACCACGCGCTGCAGGTCAGTACTCCCGCACCGCGACCAGCAGGCGGCCACGTGCGCGTCCAGCACCGACACCAGCTGGCCTGCACGCGCTGCGGCCGCCCCGCCGCCACCAGCCGCGGCCTGCGCCTGCACCGCGCCGCCGCGCACCACGCGCTGCAGGTCAGTACTCCCGCACCGCGTAAAACATTTCATAATAATTAATGATAAAAAATCCTTTACTTTAAATTTAATGTCAAAAATATGACCTAAAATTACCTCAGATATCACCTCCTGCTCCTGTTGTCCTCTCACATGTTTGAGGGATATTTTGCGAGCGGTTCCATGCACGTGTAATAGTACAGACACGATATTTATACCGGTATCTGGAAACAGCTGAAAAGAAAAACATATATATATTAATATAAAATTAAATTTTGCTTTAAATCCAATCAACTTATAACAGCACATCGTGCAAAACAAGTAATTCCATTTTTGTACACCTATTCAATTCCAACAAAGGTTTACTGCGGTAATACAACAAATACAAATTTTTGTTTATTTGAAATTATTCGAAATATCTACTTATTAATTTTCTTTTGTCAGATTAATTTGAATGAAATTATTGTACGTTACAAATAATTTACCCATGTTGCAAATAATTTAATATTAAATTTTTTTATACTACGATGGTGGCAAACATGTATATAATGGTAAACGGTTACCGTAGCCTATGGACGCCTGAAACACTGGAAGTGTCACGTGCGCGTTGCCGACCTTTAAAACCTTAAAGGTATACAACGCGCACGCCTTAAGAATCTTTTAAGATTAATTTTAGTGTACCCTCAGCCATTTACTAAACTGTGTGCGAGTATATTTCAAGACTAAGGTGACGAATCATCAGATGGTATTTCAATGAAATCGTAATACACGCAATAATTTCACTTCTACAGAGTATACGATAAAATCAGATAACTTATATGTTCCACAGGAGTGTGAAGACAGTGAAGCATTCCCGTGTGAGCAGTGCCACCTGAACTTCAGTTCTGAAGGCGCGCGTCGTGTGCATATACTAACTTCAAAACAACACAGGCAGAAAACTAGTTACCAGTGAGTGTCTAATTCATCCTTTTGGATAAATTGTATTAACAATATATTATTATGTCCCTCGTTATATTTATATCTGTACTTACTAGTAGACTTGGCAAACGTTGTCTTGCCATATAAATTAATGTCGCTATTAGAAAATACGGCTTGGCGGAAAAATGATGAAAATTTAGGGTTGTATGTATTTTGTAATGCAAAATCATAAATATTATAAAGTAAAAAAATATTACTTGAAGTGGGCCATCTATGAGACGAGAATCACTCTCCATCACGCGAACCGCCATCTTGTTTGGTATACATACATATACTCGTATATTGTGTTAACTAGAATTCCTGTTCAGAAAATAAAATAAAATAGGTATAAAAAAATTTCGTATTAAAATATCGTATTCTGAATATATTTTTTTTGTGATTTGGTAGTAACCCAAACCCTCATGAAGACGTACCTAGGAATACGTGCAAGTTTTGCGGACTCGACTTTCCTACTGCGACCGAGGTTCTTAAACATACGCGCGCCGAGCATCGGAAACTTCGTAAGAAAAAAACGAGCTGGCGACTCCCTGATGACTTGTACCCAACTCAATGTGAACATGTGAGTTTAAAACTAATGTTTTTATATATATTAATGGGAATGGCAAACAAGGTGATTGCCGAATGGTATGCGACAATCGGTTATACAGGTTGTAAAACAAAAAAAAACAGTACAATCGAAAGGGAACTGTAGGTATACCAATGACAGTAAGTAATATTATTCATATATTGTTACAATTTAAAATGATTTTAATGTAATTTTGCATGACGATATATTGTAAGAAGATGGACATAGGCTACCTTTTATTTCGGAAACAGCTGACGAAGTTACTTTCAAAATAAGCAGTGCACAGAAGACATGTGATCATTATTTGAATTTTCAATTCAGTTTCATTTCATTTAGATAGATTACATCATAAAAGAGAGTTCAAAAAACTATTTGAGTGATATAGTAATGTAGAGTTGATGATGTCAGTGCGATATTCGATTGGAGAGCCGTGGGGAGCACTGGCAGCACGTGCGGCGGCAACACCCGCGGATGACGGCTGGATACCGACGCGTCATAACTGCCGTCTGCCATGTTTGTGGCAAAGGATTCCAGGTATATACCACACCCTGCACCAGTATGTTACGCCTGTGTTTCGCAGTTTTTATACATAGTCTGGCCATAAATACTTTTACAATTAAAAATAAACAAAATCTTACATTTGAATTTGGAATCTGACATTCTGACAACCGATAGGCGCGAAAATAAGGCAACACATTTTATTTTCGCTCCAATCAGTTGTCAAATATTTTTGTGATATTAAAATGGAGTGGGGTGTTAAATGAGAACCGAATAGCTGTGATTGAATTACACAAAGTAGGTATGAAGCCTAATGCTATATTTGGCACTCCCCATCTGCTTGAATGAATGAATTTATTTATTTATTAACATACAAAACAGATTACAATAATATAATTAGGAGCGTGTAGCACGGTACTGGATTGTATTTCAGCACTATGTATGCCTACAACCTAAATTATATAGACGCATTTAATATACGCTGGATAAGGTTATATAATAAAAAGTAAACTAAATAGAAAATAATACATAATACTACGTATAACTATGGAATTAGTCGAATGTTTATGTACCGCGCTATTGATAAGTAACAATGAAACCCACTTCTGTTTGTGACAGGCAAAGATTTAGGCGTCCAAAGCAGTAAGAGAATGAGATCGAAGAAATCCTGTCTAAAAGCAATAGAGAATCTATTGATTTTATCTCACAAGACAGATAGCTCCAAGGAACCATGTCGCATATTTTAAAAGATGACTTAGGATTTGGAACCTTAGAGATGTACCTTTAATTACTTAACCCTATTCTTTTTTAAATTATTAAAAAAGAATAGGGTGGTAAAATCAAAACGACTACTTCAGGAGGTCACAGAAATGTTTTTACGGACAAGTAAATTATTAAAATTTAGCAATATTTTAGTAAACAGAATGTTCGTGTTAATGCTGAAAGCGCTGAAAAATCTTTCCAATTAATCAACAGAGTACAATGTCGATGTTATTCGCCCTTTCCGCGACGTACCATCTACACCCTCCTTAAGTTAGAAGACTAACGGACTGAGGAATAATTTTTCAACAATATTTATTCGTTGCGAGCAGAACAAAACGAAGCTGGAGCTGCACGCGCTGCGGCACGGTCGTCCGACGGTGCGGTGTAGGGAGTGCGGCCGCGCCTGCTACGACAAGCACGCGCTGGCGCGGCACGCCGCCACGCACGCCCCGCACCGACCACACGCCTGCGCACGCTGCGGACGAGCCTTCAAACTACGCTCCAACCTCCTCCGACACGCCAGGGTCTGCCGCCTCGTACTACACCGCTTTAGACTCCCGTTCTTCCCCTCCGATCGATCCCCCGTCCGATTCAAACGGGGATCGAAGACGGCCCGAGCCGAGGGTCGCAAGCCTAGCGGTGCCCTCAGACTAAAGTCGTATCCGTCAGGCGGGAGTTGGCCTACAGCCACTCCATAAGTTCTTCCGCGGGTTTGGAGTGCCATCACAAGCTGCGGCCAACACCATTAAAGTAGTCCAAAAAAACTCCCATTCCTTTTGAAGTGTAAAGAAACCCCCCCTCCTCGGCTGAGGGTCATATTACGCAAGCATTATGGAGGGGGTGGGGGGTGGTGGGGGGGAGTTTATTTTCTTGAACTCCTGCACGCCAGGGCAGACCTTCCTTCAAACTACATACATTATTTACAAGATGCAGTCAAAAAAAGACACAAATAAATATATAAAGTTACACATGTATAATTACAACAAGGGTACATATCTTGTGTATTGAATTATATGTTTTATATTCTAAGGTACATACAACTGCGACTCCATACGAGTGTACAATGTGCGGCAAGAAATTTAAGTACTCAACAAGTGTTAATCTCCACGTGCGTACCGTGCACTACAAGTTGCCGCATCCGCCCAGAAAGAAGAGAACCAACAAATCTACCACTCAAACAGAGGATAACATTGATATATGATATTAATTTATCGCTCATATAAAGGAATAAAAAACTTCAACGCATATTTGGTTTTTTACTGTACGATATTGAATAAAAATAAATGGTGGATTTTTAATTTAACTGCATTGTTATTTATTAAACCAAAGAACTGTTTGTGAGTCAAAGTCTGACGAAGGTTAAAAATAGAAATATTTAATACGGAACATCGATAATATGTCATAGAACTATTATATCTATTGAAATCGTCACTAAACTTATATGCGTTTAAATCTAAAATACATAATATATTATCCATCTATCACAAAATCGATCCAATTGGTCATATAGTGCGCAATACATTATGTACTGACTCATAAAGTCTTAAAAAATATATTCAAGTGAGATATAAGAACGAGTATTTAATTTTGCTAATAAATTAATTGTGAAGCTCGTTCGTTTTTGTTTTTCTGGCACATTGTGTCTTGCCAAATCTCAATAAATAAAAAAAACTACGCTTGAATGCTCTATGTTAACTGAACTTTGTTATTGGTTTTAAACATTGTATTTTGACATGTATAACATATTCTTAACCAATGAGAATACAGCTAGTATTGTTTACACACAATTTGATTGGTTGGATATAGAAAATGTTCTGCAACTGCAATGTCATGCGGATAGGATTGCCAAATTTCCGAATTTCATTTTACAAAGCAAAAGCAAATGTCAACATTGAAATAATTTGTCTGTGTTATTTCGCATACATTGAAATTCCGATTTTGTTTTCTTTTGTCGCGTGGTGTCGGTTTTATACATTTCGTATGCTTGTATTTAATACTTAATGATAATAAGATAAAGATTACTATTTAACTTGGAATTAGCCTCGTTTTATATCATTTCGCACGCTTACCTTCACACCACAATATCGCCACAATGGAAAACCTTGATCATAGTAATAATAAAAACGTGTCGCTAAGTTTAATTGCGGCCTACGGTGAATCTGATTCCGATTCGGAATATACTGAAACTCAATCAAATACCGGTAATGAGGATTCTGACACAGCGGAACTTAGTGAAATGGTGTTAAAGAATAATATCATAAACGCATGTGCTCACGGGCCACTGGCGAGATCTATCTTAAGGGATGACGAGGACACTACTAGGCACATGATTATAGACAGTTCCGCGAGTGGGGTGGTGGAGTACGAGGTTACAGAATACAGGGATTCTAGTGATTCAGACTCGAGTGACTCCAGCAATAGTGATGTGGACTCTGTTAAAGATATAGAAGAAATTTCGAGCGGGTAAATTTTAGTTTTTTGTTTCTGTTAAAAAGTATTTTTATAATATATATTTATAAACCTGACAGCATGTGGATTTCAGACTAATTCAGGTCCGCAGTAGACTTAAATCCTGCTTCTGAACATTGTATATATATATATATTTTAGAATAAAATTGCTGAAAGGTATAAGTAGTCAGTAGTTGACTATTTTACTTACTACCCCACACATTAAATGTTGTTATATTTTTCTTTATTGTATAGTATTTGTCAGTAAATGGCATAAAAGTTAAGTTTTGTAAATTTTTGAGTCAATTTTCGAACAGAAATGAAAGTTCTGGTGTGGTATATTCACCACAAAGTAAATGTCCTATATGTAGTAGAGTAACAATGACAAGTAACTGATTTAATGTTATCCAAAAATACAGTAAGAAGTTCCACTCTCCATGTTGTCTTTTTGTTCTCAAAGTAGGTTGCTATGGCTTAAAAGTCACAGGAAAAAGTATCATATTTTTTTCTTAATCCTGAATAATATTAAAATATGAAAAAAGAGATGATAAGGAATTATATTTTGTTAAAAGACAAGATTAAATTACAAAAATGATTTAAACAGTCCTGTAACTTTCTTTCAAGTAGATATGTTGATAAAATTATAAATGTGAATGTGTGTAAGTATGGAAGTTCGTTACTCTTTCACACAAAAACTACTGAATGGATTTTGATGAAACTTTTAGTAATATAGCTTATGCATCAGAGTAACACATAGGCTATATTTTATATTGAAATTTAATGCTGGTGAAATGCGGGCACAGCTAGTATAATATAAAAAAGAAATCCATTGAATCCTCTGCACATGCCTTTAATGTCATATATTTATTTGTAAACAATGTTATCAGATATATTGATAATTAATTTATTAAGAATTAGCAATAAGTTTTGTCTTTCTTTGGGGCCCTTCACAAATTATGTACCATGTATTTTATGATTTTCTACTCATCCCTGTCCTATTTCAGTGATCAAATTTCTAAGAATAACTCCCTAGTGTTGTCTTACATTTAACCATTTAGCTTTCATATTTAACCGTTTATCTTACATATTTAACCATTTATCATGCATATTTAAATTCATTCATTAATTTTAAGTTTTTCATTAATAATTTGAATTTTAATTCAAATTTTAGGTTCAAATAAAATGTGTGAATATATATAAGTATTAAATTATGAAATGTAACATCGAAAAAGGATCTATACTGCCACACAATGTCACACTTTGCCAAGTAACCTGTATTTCAATATATACATGTTAGTCTAATGCTAAGTATTAAAGTCATATCTTTATTCATGTAGATCTATTACAGACTTATGTTTCGAGCTATGGAGAAGTGACAAAAATTCAGCTCTTATTCAATTGTCAAATGAACTTGTTAGGAAGAATACAGTGACTACTAGAGTTATTATTACAAAAAGAAATAGTCTAATCAGTGGACCATAAACCCAAACAGACAAGTTCCCATCTTTTTAATATAATAAACGCGAAAGTTTGTGAGTATGGATGAATGTTTGTTACTCTTTCGCCCAAAAACTACTGAACGGATTTTGATGTAATTTTACAGTTATATAGCTTATACATCAGAATAACATAACTATAGACTATAAATTCTATACATTTTACGCGGGTGAAACCGCGGGCACAGATAGTAGTGCATGATAAAGTAATATAACGTTTATTACAGAGATGAGGAGACAGTGAATCGTAACGAGAAACCGGAACCGCCGCGAGTTCAAGGCGAGCTCGCGCTGGACGACCTTCCGCCGATCGAAGACCTCGCCATCAGCTTGCCAGCACAGGAAACTACCAAGATTGGCACCATTGCCAGTATTGTTGATCGATTAGGTAACATATTAATTAGTTTTAGATTTTCTTCTTCTTGATATTATATTTGACGTCCATAGTCCAGCTTTTTAGCTCACCGCATTACTTTCGGATACTACGTAGTAAAAAAAATTTTATATCTTTATTTTGAATAATAATAATCTCAGGACAATTCACACTGCGCATCTAGTCCTACATTAAGCTAGCTATAGCTTGTGTTATGAATAATACAAATACATATATTTTTTTTCGTAAATACGGACATATTATACATAGAAAACATCCATATTGATACAAACAATCATACTCATGAATACAAATATTTATGTCGTGCGAGGAATCGAACCCGCTACCATCGGAGGTAAGGCGATGTGCTAGACTACCAAGGTCATCAAGAATATGACCATCATAAGAAAGATCCTACGTGAACAAATAATTATGAGTTTGGAAATTTTGACGATTCTTACTTTATTAACTGAGGTTATATATTATAGTAAGTTTAGATATTTTTTTCAAGATTGATAAATAATACTGTCAGTCAGTCACTAGTGTCACTATTAATATCGATATTTGTTTCAGTTATCGTTCGTTCCTTTCCTGATACACCTGCAGTGGATCTGGACAGCATTCTCTTCTTGGATAACGGTGCAAAAACGCTAGGAAAAGTGTTCGATGTATTTGGTCCTGTAAGTATAACACGATTTTATAAACAATTGTTATGATTTCGCATCATACCCTCTGATCGATCCCCCGTCCAACAGCGTTAGACTAGTTTGAAAAAAAGCATTATGATTAATTTGTATTAAAGTCCATAAATTACGATGAAATGAAAAAAATAGCAGTTGAAAACAAATGTGATGGTAGAAATTCTATCGTAACGATGTTATAAGTCCATAGAGTTATGTCATATATCTGCAACCTTAAACTTATTTCCATAATAATTCAAATTTCGTATTGGAATATTTAGATGATTTAGAATTTGTAAGTGATGTCACGATTTTTTAGAACCCCTTCCACTCTATTGTCACACTTTGTCGGACCTACTAACATGGGATTTATTGTGTGCTAATCTCGGTTCGTTAATTGCTTGTTATAATAATAGTAATATTCTTAGAACATTCACACAGCGCCATTTGGTTCGCAGTTAAGCCGAGCTTATGTTATGGGACTTATGGGTACTAGTACAATTATACAATTAATGTAAATACATATATACTTTATTTTTTTGTAATTACACATATAATATAATGGTTTGATGTGCCTAAAACAGTTTACTGTTATGGTTGCAGGTAACGGAGCCTCACTACTGCGTGCGGTTCAATTCTCAGGAGCACGTGAAGGACCGCGGCGTGCAGCCCGGCCTCGACGTGTACATAGCGCCGCGCTCACAGCAACACACCAACTATGTCTTTCTCAATGAACTCATGAAGTGAGTTATATACATTCTAATTTTTCCACCAATTTTTACAGAGTTTCGGCTGAAGGTTACTGAAATTACAGTCCTTACTGTCTACTGTACTCTACTAATGGCTTAATGGATGTGCATACAGTACCATAGGCGTTACATGGTTATGTGTTGTCTATAGTAATGATCATTTACCATCAGATGGTTTGCTTACCATCAAAATAGATATGGTTTTAAATTGCAATTTATTAGATTGCATTTCTACTCGATCGGATATTATATTTAAAGTATATATCATAAGTGATATATGTTTTAAATATAGTATATATGTCTTATTAGTTATTATAGAGCATTTTATAAAAAATAATAATTACTTTCAGATTAAAAGGATCAGACGCATCATGGCGGAATGATATAGAACCTCCGCCGAGTCAGGTCGACTACTCCGACGACGAGGAAGAGAGAAAGGCGAATAGAGCGAGAAAAGAACAAAATAGACAAAACAAAGAAGAAAATTCTGAGAACAATGGCGAGACATCAAAGAACCGCAGGCCTACTGAAAATAGACGAAACCAGCGGCCGTCAGAGTCGAGTAGCAGATTTGGAAGTGGTCCCAGCAGAGGCAGAAACCCGTTCGCTGCTGGATCTAGAAGGAACAATCCGAACACGTTCCCGAGATTTGCAAGGCCTTGGCTTGGAAATATGGACATGAGGACCCCTCCACATCCCAACGATCCCGGCGGCCATCCTCCTTTTAGTGCGCCGCCGTTTTCTCCCAATATGCCACCAATGTTCCAATCTTACACCCCGCGCATACCAGCCTCGTTCATGGGTAATGCATTCCAGTTCGGAGCGAACCCGCGGATGCCTGGCCCAATACCCCCCATGGGTGTACCACCGTTCAGGCATGGAGTGCCAGTATTTGGTGCTAATTTCTGCAATCTGCCCGGTCCACAACCCCAATGGATCAACGGCCTCCCACCCCCACCAGGGACCTAATCATACGCACATAACTTAAATTCGGTTGTAAGGTTTATCTCGTAATAATTATAGTCAGTAGAATTGTACCGTTTAACTATGCTAAAGTGTGGCCACCCAAAAATATATTTATATTTATATGAATAAACGATAATTATAGCAGTATATTATTTTGTTTTTATACCTATTTTATAAGTAAGTGTTTTGAAAATTTGAGCAATAAATGAATAATTATAGCTAAAAATATAACGAGTCACCCCTCTTCATTTTTGATAAAATAGAATAAAATTCATTAGGTAAAAATATACCGAGTCACTCTTCATTTTTAAAATAGAATAGAATAGAATAGAATTATATTAACTCGTTTTTACAGTAATAACGTAAGAAGTACAAGAATAATTTACACATTAAAAAACGGAGTCAATGTGGACCACAACTCAGCATAATGCTGGAAACAGTTTCCAGCGCTGATTTTCAGTTGGGCCCTCAGTTTTTGATAAAATAGAATAAAATTAAGAAAATTAAACTAAAAATGAGCAGAGCAATACTTGAGAAGTTCGTTCGGTTAATATTAATTATTTTTATAAGTAAGACAATTTTCTTAACAATATTTTGTACTAGGCGGTCATAAGAGCAAAGGTATTACGCACATATTTAATACAAACATCGTTTAGGTTCAGTCGATGGAGCACCCGCCGCGGCCGTTCACTAGTCTAATAAATGTTAATGTTTCGCTAACAGAAATTTGCGAATTTCGGTTTGAGTGCCCTAAATACTCAAAGTTTATTGTTAACTTGAATAGAACAATACATTTTGTTTTTAAAATAAAAACAAAATGTATTGTTTAGTGTGTGGAATCCAAAAAAACATTTCTAGAATATATAAATTTTTAAAACGTTTATTAGGTCAATATTATCGTTTCGTGTAACATCAAAGGTTTATAAAATTTTGGCGTCGATCGTCACTCTACTTCTCGTATTACAAATTAATAATGTCTACCAATACGTGTTGTTTTCTTTAATAATATTTTTCTTACAAAAAATAACACATAAGAAAAGAACATAACATCTTTATCGTAGAAAGTGGATCCAATTTTCATGAATAGGTTGAAAAGTTAAATGCTTTAGAGAGCTCTATATTCAAATATATTATATCAATACCAAATAATAATAATATAATTTTATCAATACCAAAAAATTAAATATGAAAAATTCCATTCATATTTTTTTTTTATATTGAAAAAGCAAACAAACTGTCGGTCTATATGATGGCAAGGGGTAACTGTCACATATGTATATACCAGCAATGCGTCTTGTCCTGTAATTTCTAAAGAACTAAACATATATCGTATCCCTAGTACTTCCAGGTACATATAGGCAGGTATATAAGAAGGATGTCCCATGTCTTTGTATTTAAGATAATAAAAATAGCTGTTATAAACAGGCAGAATTGGAAATAAAAGACTAATCATTTTGTGATTTCTTTATTAAATATTTCATTGTTAGAAATTAACTAACGATCGAATTTGATAAATGTTAAAATAATAAAAAAAGTTCATAATAATAAAGATTACATCTAAAAAATACTGCTCTTGGACTATGCAGAACGAAACACTTGATATTATTTCTGCTGCCCTTAAATTGACGATTTGTCAACGAAACTGGATTAAAGATAATTAAAAAAAAATAATTTTGCACTCACATGATCACAACGTAAAATGATAGACATTTCACAATACAGGAATATAAAACTCGTTCGTTCTTATAACTAAAAAGTAACTTATCGCCAAATATGCATAAAGCTATTCGCAACTATCCGACTGTAAAATCTATAATTTTGGGATGCGTCCACAAATTACATTTCATTAACACGCGCATTCAACACTGGAGGCCAACAGCTGCTCTACATGTCATTGCTTTTTTTTTTATTTAAAACCAAATCCGATCAATGGAAAATAGGTTATAGCGTTTCGCGCCATTCTGTGTTCTTGAAGAGAGCACTTAGCAATTTCTGGTCATTAAATGAACTAACCGATATTCTTATAGTTTTATTTAGTTCTTATAGTTATATTTTTCGGTGAATGTAAAAGATTGGTATACCCTTTCAGAAGATATCTGTATATTGTGTACACTTACGCCTCCAATGATGAAGTATATTAAAAGTACAGGAATAAGTACTATTATTCTCAACAATGCAAATGCGGTCATATTTTTCGGTGAATGTAAAAGATTGGTATACCCTTTCAGAAGATATCTGTATATTGTGTACACTTACGCCTCCAATGATGATCTGTAAAAGTACATATATATATATATATATATATATACACACAACTATTGGAGATAATAAACATCAAAAAAATTGGCAAAATGTTAATTATTATCGCCCCTTTACATACGCTAAAATATTCAGCGTTATCAAAAACACAAAATAAATTGTATAATTTGAATTTAAATGCAAATGGGCCTTTCACGTAAGTTTGTGTATGTATTGTCTGCTATATCTTTACACATATCTGGAACCGCTATGTTTCCCCTTATGCATAAAAACTAAAACTTTTTTTCCTCCTTGAAATGTTTCCTACATGCTTGTCAGTGGCACTGATAGTAAATGTTTTGTCACACTCTTTCGAATTAGTAATGTAACTTAAACGAATGGGAAAAAAGTAGTAAATTAAGGTTCGTTTCCCTTTTTATGAATAAGGGGTTTGTTATTGATACAAGTAGAAAATCGGTACACACATATATCACCTACAATCTACAAAAAAATATATAATTGTTATATATTACTTATCGAAGGAAGCATTATGTGATTTTATCATTTACATGTATATATAAAATCGAATAGATTCGTGGACACTCCCAATATAGTATAGTATATAAATAAAAGAACGTATTAATAGGTACACGTACACTACAAAAACTAAAGTTAAGCCAAGGCTACACAGTAAATATTTGATTACCTAACACAATAAAACTTACAATAATAATAAAAATCATTAATAAAATCCCGTTTTATATATGACACTTGAAGATTTAATTAAATATTAATATTTGATTTTTGCCTTGGATTAAAATTTGTTTATGCACGACTGGCACTATGAGAGATTTAACTGCATTATTATGGTTATGGTCACAGACTTGATACTCCGACTCTCGTTCCGATTGGCGCATATCCAAAGAGGGCGTGGCTAAGCAACCAAATGCGCCAATCGAACGAAAGCCGTAGATGTCAAACGTCCAACGAACCAAATAAAGACAGCGCTATATTAACTTGAACGAATTCTTGAAAGCACTTGAAAAAGTCGTGCTTATAAGTTGTGCGAGGTTATGAATATTATTGTCATTTGACAGTCTCAGTACAATGTGTATAGCTGGGTTCGTAACAGCAACTGTCAAATGACATTACATAATCGTTATACTGTCACTTTTAATCTAAAAATAACAAAGTTATATGGCCGAGATGCAGAAAATATTCCCACACAGTACTTTTATAAAATTTATTTGATTGTTTAATAAGTATTGAAATTACCGATTAAAACAATTATCTCTGATCACAACACTACTACAGGTTTATGTAATTTATGTATCTCTCATTGCACCGCAGCACCATACTGACACACCAATCAAAATTTAAATATAAATGCAATATTTCGGCGATCATTCTCCAAACATCCCTATAAATAACCCAACTTCCATCATATTGCCAAATTGTAAGACAGATCCACGAGTCAACACACACTCTCACGGTTTCTGAGTTGCCATGATAACAACACGTTTGCATCTGCTTTTTTTTTACTAAAATTGAACATGACTAAAATAAGTGTCGTCTTTATCGGTTCACGTAAGAGTAAAAGAGATACTTTGACGATTTATTTGCGGACCGTTGCCTCGTGGACCGGGAAACTAAGGGTACACATAAACTTAACGACAACACAGAGCCAATAGGGCTTTACCATATAAAACATAACTAAGTTCAGACGTCTAACACTATGCCAGGTATTATAAATACGATTAGATTATAGGGAGTAACTGATCGTGTAATATTTCCATTATAAAAATACAGATTCCTATATTAAATTAATTTCTCAATAAGCTTAGCTTGCCGTCTGACACTCGTGAACATCTATTGCCTCTACAGGGCTCACACCACCCATACGTTAACTCGAAAATCAAATCGCACATAATAGAAAACGGATCCGAGCAGTCTTCTATCAAAACACGAAAATATCCGTGAACGAAAATTAATTTTAAAACCGATTCGAAACTATACCACTAATAGTGAACCACTAAATTTAATTTGATCGTATGTAAAATTAAAACTTAACGCTAAACGATTAAAAGGAAATTAAATTACGTCTCCTCTACTCTAGTATTTGAAGGATTATAATTTTGTATCGATTACAAGTTAGGAACTATTCTACTGTACAGATTATATAAAGAAATTATGTCAAGACTGTTTAATACTTTCCAGACGTTAACATCACTAAAGCGGAACACAATAGCCAAAGAGAAATGAACGTCACTTGACACATACAGATTTTTGAATACATCGAGTGAGGAACTAAGGGCTTTTGATCTACAAAAATATAACAAAGAACCTGCCAACTTGGCTGTTTCACAGCCTCCTCGAATGGCTACTAGCTGTCTGACCGTGGGGTTTACATTATATTGCATATTATTATTATTATATATAATTATTATATCATATAAGACTACGATACGTTATTCATTGCTTTTACAGGCAAAACGATTAAAGAAATATATATGTTAATACACATTATGTCCATACAATATTTATGTATCTGCTAAAATATGTAACTTACGTCGTATCACTTATTCGTGTGGTGTTGCCGAGTTTTAATATTTAGAATATTAAGTTTTATCTAAGACACTACTTTCTACTTACTAGTATTCACAGAGATTGATACAGATAAGAACATGGAAAGGCGAAATAGCGTGTGCTTCCACTACACGTCGACCTCATACGCACTATAAATTAAACGTACCTTACAAATTAAATATAGACAGCCAATGAGATGTTGAGTTCGATAGGACAATACACCTCAACGTACAGTTCAGTACTTGTCTCTCAGTACTAAAATATCAGATCCAAGATTGTGGAGAGAGAAACCGACAAAAAAATTATTGACAAGCGTTAAACGATATTAACACTGAAGGCAACCTCGAAGTGCACATTACAATATAAACACTGCGTACCTAAAATAGTTTCACCATTAAAACATTGTCGTAAATATGCTGCCTCTATGTAGTGTAGATATTCGCAAAATATTACACATCTATAAGTTATCATCTATATAATACGATGTTCTACATGAAGTTTCAAAAAGTATCTTGTAATGCATTTAATTAGAATTCATAATATCTATGTGTATATAGTTTAATTTCATATGACATTACTTCGTGTACTAATAAGCAGTCTCTATTCTTCATAATGCATTATATAATTGCACGTTGTAAAAGTACGCTGTCTTGTGATGTATCTTATGACTATAAAATAATGTATGATCGTTTAAAATATATATTATCTGTGTATAATTATATATTTCATGTAAAACATCGTCGTAAATTGTGACGAATCGATTTGTTCGGTTATGGATGATTACATTGAGTATCACTGTTTGATTAAAAAAAGTTTATGGCGTTATGTTTACGTAATTCACCGATTAATTAATCACCACCAATTAAATGCATATCTCGACAGTCACTTGAATTATCCTCAAATGTTATATTATTAAAGCGATCGAAGTTTTCACTCATTGTAGTAGCATTACACAATCGATTATACCTTACTAATTATACGCGATACATTTAAGACACTATAAGTCCAATGCGCGGAATACCTTATTTTATTATTATATAGATATTTCGATACAGATTAAAATTAATAATATATTCGACATGATTTAATTTATATATAAAATGTTGATTATATATAGCCGTCGCAACGCAATAGCACTTTGAAGAATTTATATTAAATAATTATTAGTCTGCCTATGAGAAGGCTCGAATATAATCATAGTAATCATTTATACAGGCTGTAACAGAAGGAGTTTAACAACTGGTAATCTAGCAACAGTATTCAAATTTACCAGGTTTCACCCTTGAAGTATTACGTACTAAAGTACATATTTGCAGAAATACGGTAGCGAGATCAGTTGTAGCATAATCGCCGTAATTCACTCAATTTCTAGGCAATTAGCAATGTCTTTAAAAAACAGATTTATCTGCATGTTTTAAGTATCGCACGGTTCATGCAATGTTGGCAAATGCAACAAATTGTCATTCCTCGCGAATGTATACAATTACAATGTTATCTCTAACACTTTAGTGTATCATACCTCCATACTTTTCACAAGGAACAGTCAATAGGTAATATACAGCATAATCCTTCATACAAATCGCGCCCTGAAAATACCCCTTTATTAAAAGAGTTCAGTTTAATGAATACTGCCGCTAAATTTCCGTTTATTATACCCTTTCTATTACACCTTGTACATAATATAAATTAATTATACTTGCGAGTAATGGAGTCATCAATCACCGCACGCAAATATCACGTGAATGCTACCACAATAATACTTTAATTACTACGTTTATATATCTACCCTCCATTTGGGAGAACGCATCATTTCATTCATCCTTTTATGAGAAAAATTCTGCATCCAGCAGTTGTCTACATTTAGACCGTTCAACTGCCGTCTTGCACCTAAGAGTATATACATTTCCTAGGACAGGTACAGTCAGAGAAGTCATTGAACACTTATAAACCCTACACTGCAATAAGGCCCGAAATTGGTGAAATGTGTTCAGCTTTTTATGCTGATTGTACAGTATTCTCATTGCATATATATACTAAAATATTTTGGTTTAATATTTCATTTTTAAACGAAAAAAGTCGTTTCAATCTGCGCTCACCTCAAGAACCACGAAATACTCAGTTGCGTTTCCTTGACAAAGGGTAGACAATGTATAGGCCATATTATGTGTTCTCCACCGGTCTTATGGTACAGTCGCCGACTGTCGTTATAGGTGTGATGGTGACCGAACTGGGAGTCGAAGCGGGCATCGTAATCGTCTCCTGTACCTGCTCCATCTTGTCGTCCTTATCGTCATTGTTCGGTGGTAGCTTCACAATCTGACAGTCGCCGACGGTCATGATCTGGGTTTCCATGGCTACTGGAGGCACGTTCTCCTCAGGTTCAACTCGAGAGCTGTCGTCATCATCAGAAGAGGAGTCGGAGACGTCTATGGTCCTGTCGTGGGATGTTTCCGTGGTGAGACTCTGGTCAGCGTCAACATTGCGGTCGGGATCGACGCTGGTCACTCCGTAACCGAAAGCGAGAGGATTGTAGATCATTTCAGTGAGGTATGAGAAATCTCCGAAGGGCAGGTTTGTTGCATTGTAGTTTTCGTTGGGTCTTCCATCTGCAATAGTATATACACATTTTAATATATACAATTCGAGCTGTTTTACTTGTATCTATCTACTTGCTACAACTTTGATTATCTTTCATTACAATACAATTACAAATATATAATTAAATATATATACTATAGGAATATGTTAATATATTGTTGCTATAGCAAAGCAGGCATGTTAATAATATTAATCTAAAAATAAAATTGTTAAAGAATGTAATTAACAAGACAGGAAGATTGTTGTACACGCCTACCCGACACCAAAACAATATACGAATAAATTCAAATATCTCGCGTACTAACTAAAATTACGTTTTTATTACAATCATATTGTCTTAATTGTGCATATAATCATTGAAGTGCATATTTTAGTATCTACTATCTTTCTACTACAGTTCACTCTTTAAAATATTCGACTGTTACACCGTCCTTCCGGTAAACTATGAGTTTGACTCGAAAGTGTCGAAAGACTACTGCATGGGCATTTTCAAGAAGGGTTAAAAAGGTTTCTTTAAGGGTCAGCAACGCGCACATGTCACCTCTAGTATTTCAGGCGTCCATACGCTACGCTAACCGTTTTTCATCAGATGGGCGATATGTGCATTTTAATAAAACTGTAATGTAGGACTCTATTGCTAAGCAGTGGGGTATATTATTTTATTTGCCCCAGGGCCCTTGGTTACCTAACTACACCACTGCTTATATCATCACAACATGGTAAGAGCTAACTTAAAGAACAACCCTCAAGACACGGGCGTAAAAGATAATCTCGACAATATATTAAATGAATCGGAACTTCGAATGACGCCAATAAAAAGCATTAATTTACGTCCGTTTATTAAACCTACAACTAGATTCTTACGTTCTCGTTTCTCATCATAATTTTACATAATATATTAATTTTTATAAACAGAAATATCAAACTATTGCAAGTTTGCAGCTGACTATTACTAAATATTAATACGGAATTTCTAGCACTGTCAATCATTTTGTTATTAATTAACAAATTTGGTCATTATTATTCACGCATATTTTACGAAGTATCATAAAAGTTATCCCTTCTTGACTGATTCTGCATGCCGAATAAAAAAAGTGATTTAGTTTAATAAATAAATATAATTGTATTTCTATAGCATGTTAAGGGTACAGGGTACAAAGTTGACAAGTTATATTTATAACTATTTATAAATATATCTATTATCTTTGTGGGACTAGCCCACGTTAAGCTGAGCTTATCTTGTCTAGTACCCAGACAAAAAATATAAATACTTAGATATTTGTCTTTGTAAATACATACATAATATACCTATATAGAAAATACCCAGACCGATACAAACAATCATAATAATAAATACCAATGTTTTGCAACGTGCGAGGAATCGAACACGCGACCGTCGGAAATGTAGCTATGTGCTAAACAGCTAGACCACCGAGGCTGTTTATAACTTATGTCTAGTATGTGATTAGCCTTAATATCATAAACGTAAGTGTTTTACAAGCATATAAAGTTCATTATCATTATGAAACGTGTTAATATTTTCAAGAGTGAACTTTGCAAACATATTAAATACCGATTAGTACTGTCGACTGTTCCCAATTTTTTTTTTAATTTAATTCTCATGCTAGTGGTGTGGTATGTACTAACAAATGTTGGTCATTTCGGCGGCTAGCCCGTACTGCATCGGTATTGACATATCCATACCTAGAGACAGACTAGCGGTTAGAGTAACACATAAAGCGTCCGGCCAAAGGACACTTATCCAAAACGGTGACAATAGAAGCGTTGTACTATTCTCTTGTTCTAATGATAATATTAGTTATGGAATATATAATTATAGTTTAGAAATGCTCATGGTTACGGTCATATGAATCTTACTTCTTGCTAATATTATAAACGCGGAAGTTTGGAGTGTGGATGGATGTTTGTTATACTTTCACGCAAAAACTACTGAATGGAATTTCATGAAAGTTACATACAGCTCACAAATCAGAATAACAAATTTATAAATTTCACGCGAACACCACGGGCACAGGTAGTATTATACAACAATATCTAATGAAATTGCCGTAGTAAATTCTGAACCGTTTAGGCTGTGCGTTGTCTGTTACTTTAGTTTTATTATTATTATTATATATATAGTAATTTTAACATCATAATTTATGTAATCTTATTACTGAAATTATTATGTTAAAATTACTAAGGTTTACAAATATTACTAATATTACAAAGATAGAGGATTTTATTAGGAGAAAACTGTATTTCGAAACCACTACACACTGATTTTAGAAAATCTTTCACATTCGCCAGATACTTTATTCCAGAATAACATAGGCTCTAAATGTAGAGCCTATGTTATTCTGGAATAAAGTATCTGTATGTAATATACATTAAAACATTTATAAATACAAATTTATAAAGTCCCAAACTAAAACACTAGTAAAGTAATTAAAAATCAACTGCAATCAAGTATTTTTAATAAGGGACAACAAATTTCTACTGTAGTCAAAACCTATTTTATCTATTGCAGTGAATCATTAAATACGGGCGAACATTTTGTATTTAATTTTAAAGTTTCTGAACATAGAACAATATAGTTACACAGTTAAAATGTATCATTTCTGGCCGTTGACCTTTTACACTTTCTCAAATCAAATAAAACATGAAACACGCTCATAATTTTTTACCTACACGCGGTTTCTTAGAAATATTAGCAAAAACAAGAGAATAATCCAACGAGCAATGTATTATGGAAGCAATGAGGCGTACAGACATACGGTACACACACAAACACAAATACTGCAAACAAAAACACATAATAGCTATGAGTCATACATATATATAATACAAGGCATCATTATTCATCTTAACGTCTCGGTATTGAGTCATTGACTTGTTCAGACAATTATCGAAACAATTAAAGAATGTTTAGTTGATGATTTTGCAGTGGTGAAACGGTTTGAGGCAATTATACAAATGTTTGGCAAATATTACTTACATTATAAACGCGAATGTTTGTAAGTACGGAATGATGAATGTTTGTTACTCTTTTACGCAAAAAGTACTGAACGGATTTTGATGAAACTTTACGGTATATAGCTTGCGCATTAGAATTACATTTAGGCTATAATATAAAAATAAGTTATGAAAATTGGGCGAAATATAAAGTTAAATGTAAAGTGTGATGCAGACGATGTCGAACAGGTCAGCTAGTTAGATTTGTCCAACATTTGATGTAATGAGGAAACATTTATATAATAAAATATTAATCCTGGACAATTTACACGACACCATCAAGTACTAAGTAGAGCTTTTTTTATAAGTATCACACAACGGATAGAAATACTTAAGTCCATTTTTTATAAATACTTAAATAATATACCTAGATGACAGCCAGATCAATATAAACAGTCATACTGATGACCAAATGCGAGGAATCGAACCATGACCAACTAAGGTGGTATGGTGTGCGACACTACTAAGGCCATATCATATGATTTTCATTAGAGCAAATCGTCTATATTAATAGACGATTTACTAAGCTAAATTAGTAGCATGTGAAATGGGGTGTATATATTAAAAAAAAGATGGACCCCCTGCGAAAACGGAGTTGAACAGTATTTACGTAAAAACACATTATTATTTTACTATAACGAGGTGGACAATTCACACAGCGCCATCTAGTTCCACGCTAAGCAGAGTTTGTGTTATGAGTACTAGAGAACTGATATAAATACTTAGATATCTTTTTTGTAAATGCATTATATATATATATATAAATAGAAAACACCCAGACCGATACAAACAATCATACTCATGAATAAGTGCGAGGAATCGAACCCGCAACCATCGGAAGTAGAGCGGTATGTTAAACCGCTAAACCACTAAGGCCGTCAGCCAGTACATACCGGGTCTGGGCAGCAGGTAGTTCTTGGGCGGGCGGCCACGCTTACGCTTCAGAAGCAGCTGTTGTTGGCCGGCTGACATTTGCGACACATGTTGGGGACTTGGGCCCATAACCGATCCACTCGTCAACACACATCCCTCCATATCTGTAATGGTGGAAAGGGAGGTTAATACTATGGCGTATTGACAAGTACTAGCGTAGTCAATAACTGCTCTTTCAAGAAGATTGAAATTGGCAATATTAAGTGAATGAAAAACTCTTTAATGTTCCTCTCACAGAAAGAAGTAACAATTACATAAATTAATATGTACATCAAATATAAGAAAAAACAACATAATTACAATATAGACTTAAAAATGGGCGGCTTTGTCGACAAACAGCAATATCTTCCTGGCTACCTTAGAATGGAGAGGAGTGATTAGACTGTGTCTAGTCGAGGCATAACAGTTAGTTATTGGAAGTATTATTAAATAAATATAGTTAAAAGTGTTTTAATACGAATAATTTAGTAGCTAGTACGCTGAAACGTCCAGGGAGGCAAATACTTTAATAATATTTACCATAAAATAATTCGTGTTAGAAAACGTTTAAATATATTAATCATGAGTACTAAACGCGAAATTACAATCCAAAGGTCATGAAATCGGCACTGGATTGATACTGAAAAAAATATATCAAAGTGAATTTATATTTCTGATAAAAATTATCAATCCAAAATTTAATCCGAGAGACGGCGATAGGGTAGCCCTTGCTATGTAGAATTCATATATACGCAGCGAAGCGAATAGAATAGAAAATCATTTATTCAAATAAACTTACATTGAAGCACTTTTGAATAGTCATTACATCTTAATCTATGTTCGGAAAGCTGTCTCATCACAAGAAGAACGAGCAAAATAATTTTATTATTACTTTTTTTAAATTCTATTATGTAAACCAAAATACTAAATTTCTTTTTTTTAAAAGCTAGTTTATTTTCATTGTACACTTATATAAATGTCTATGTCTAATATTAAATGAAAATCCTGTGCATGAACAATTATTGCCATGCATCTCCAAATTGTAGGGTTCTCGCTGACGAAGTCATAGAATATATCCGTAACCATAAAAGTACATATAAGTAATTTCATATTGCACCAAACGTAAATCGTTAGCAATCAGAATTCATTCCATAATTTATGGAATTATGGATTAACTTAAAATTGTATTAAACTTTCCATATTGTTCCCGGAGTCAACTGTACACACAATCCAAGGACTCTGACAAAATACATTTTGCGCCGTGGCATATAGTTTTTATGTTGGATTAGATAATTGACAAAGTTACAGTATAAAAGTTAGTAAGTAGTTTTAGCTCCATTATGAAAGAAATACCGATATTTAAATAAACATCCAAAGATACTTGACTATATTTGCCCGACTAAAACGTTTAAGACTCAGTTCTATTGCATTCAACTTTGTATACAATATAACCTTTTTCACTAAGATTTTTATTTATAATTTAGTCTCTTATTAATTTCCCTAATTATAAAAGAAAGTATATTTACCCAGCGAAGTCTTAGGTGGACGCCCCCTCTTCTTCTTTATTTTGGGCGTGAGTGGCAGCGGGGTCTTCCTGGGCCTTCCGCGGCCTCTCCTTGGCGGGTCTGTCAGGTCTCCCGGGAGGATTTCATTCCTGACCGGGTCCAGCGTGGAGTTCAGCACAATCGCGTTGGAGGAAGATCTCGGCGGCAGCATCACGTCGCCGCTGGGAGTGAACACCAGGTGTCCTGACTCCCGGTGGGTGGTCCGCACCATGCCCGACATCACTTCAGAGCTGTTCTCGCGTTTCCCCACTGCCGACTCGTTCGCCATATCCACAGTTGGGTCCTCCTGGAAATGTTGCTGCAAATTAGTATATATAAATATCAGAACTTATATCAACATATAAAATTAAATAATAATAAAAAATTAAAGTAGGGATTTAAAATAAATATAAGAACTTATATATAATTTTATAAACTTAAATTAAAACAAAAAAAAAACGTTACGATTTAAATAAATAACTACATAATTAAATAGTTGACAAGGCAAACGTTGTTTTGTCATATAAATTAATATAACTATTAAAAAATAGGGGTTGATGGCAGAAGAGTGAAGAACAACCGAAAATTTTATAATGTAGACGTAAAAAAAATAATGTCGGCTTCGCTTTTGGGTATGAAAAATCAGATTACTAAATTTACACACAAAATTTCAGTCAGCAGTAGAATGCAAACACGACCTTGCGACTCCGGCACCAAAAACCTGTTTAGCCTGTAAGAGTTGGAGAGTTGGAGTACCCGTCCTCCCCTAATGCCAGAAGTATTTTTTCCAGACATAAAAATTATATTTTTTTTATACAACATTGGTGGCAATCAGGACTACGGCCCATCGGAGGGGCGGTTTATGTCACCATAGCTTATGGACGCCTGAAAAACCAGGGGTCTCACGTGCGCGTTGCCGACCGTTAAAATATAAAAGCTATTTACGCCTTAGGGAATAATCTCCCTAAGGCATATATAGCTTTTTATTTTTCTACTTAAAAAACAAAATCTGGGATTTGGGGAATATCCATATTATTCTATCATATGGCAAGTACATAAAATAATAGTAATAGTACCTACTCCAGACACTGGTAGTGATATAATACAGTTAAGAACTTTAAAATTGGTTGAAAATAAGATAATTGTTGCACTGGATAGGTCGTCATTGAGATTAAACTGAGAAACAAACTATATATATCGTTTATTAATAATAATAATACAGATATGATTATGACCATTCCCACTTGATAATGTATGATATCACTACGATAAATATTTTGTCATAATACAATGATGTACCAAGAAAAACGATGTATCACCATTTTATAATAGAATTATAATCGAGTATGCCTCGATATAGGCGCCACTCAAAAGATAACGTAATTTAATAAATGTATTATATTTCCTTATATTCTTAGATAATCATCATAATCTATTTTATTTTAGACTTACTTAATAATTGGTAGTTACTAAAATACGGTGTTAATTATAAAATACAGGTATTTTCGTATTACTCCAGATAGTGTAGTTAATAATAAGTATAACCCAGGACAATTTACACAGCACTGTCTAGTCCCAAGTTAAGCAGAGCTTTTATTATGGGTATTAGGCACCTGATATAAATATATAATAATTTTTTTTGTAAATACATACATGTATGTCAGTCTAGCGGTTTAGCACACCGCCTTGCTTCTGATGGTTGCGGGTTGGATTCTTCGCACATCACAAACATTTGTATTCAAGTGTACGATTGTTTGTATCGGTCTGGGTGTTTTCTATTTACAATATGTACGCATTTACAAAAAAATATATATCTATGTATTTGTATCAGTTATTTAGTACCCATAATACAAACTTTAGCTAACTTAACTTGGGTCTAGATGGCGCCGTGTGAATTGTCCTGAGATTATTATTGTTATTATTATCCACTGGTGCCCCATTAGCGTAGTCGGGAGCACTATTCAATTATTATCAATAAAAAGAAATATATGTTTCTTAAGGGTCGGCAACGCGCACGTGACACACCTGGTGTTTCAGGTGTCTATAGGTCAAGGTAACCGTTTAGCATCACATGGATTGCACGGTTATTTGCCACCATCATAGTGTATAAAAATGTAGCTTTTTTTTACATTCTATTTAAATATAACTTACGACTTTTACCTACTTACTATATCCTATCCCACGCTGTAATGGAAGGACTGGAAGAGATCTCTCATTAATAATCATAGCTGTATATAAGTGCAATTAAGATATAATACTAGCTGACCCGTGGAACTTCTTCTGCATCACCCTTATATCATTATGTTTCGCTAAATTTACATAATATATATCGAAATTATGCGTTATACTGAGCTGTAAAGTTTCATCAAAATCCGTTCAGCAGTTTTTGCGTGAAAGAGTAACAAACATCCATCCATACTCACAAACTTTCGCGTTTATAATATTAGTAAGATCTTTTATACTTGAGTGTACTGTAAGATACACCTTAATGAATTAAGCACAAGGTTATGTGCCACAGGGGCTATCTCCCTTCCATGATAGGCAGATTAATGCCTGGTAACTTACACAAAATAGCAATATACTAAAATATTCATATAATTTCGCGTAGGACGTTGACGTCACAAAATTAATGGCTGCTAATAAATTACTCAATATATCGATGACGTACCAGTCTACTCGTATCGGAAATATTTATACAACTTGTATATTTAGCTCTTTAATTACTGCAAACTGAATCTGAACTGATTTTTATCGATTTACAATTTTTTTTTGTAATCGATACTTGCTCTTTTTTTGTTAATCCCATGCAATTTTATTATTTGTTTAAATTAATACATAATTTTAATAAAGACAAAAATTTGAATTCTGCTAACCAAAATAAATATCTGAAAAAGGAAGTCGCTTGAAAAGCGTGATAAAGGTAAACCTAAAACCACATGAGAGGTACGTCCTGCAATGGGATGATAATGTGCAGTTATGGGAATGGATTTGTCCCTCTCTCAGATCTTGTGTGTGTGTACGGGCCTCTGACACAATCCTCTAGCCATATATAAAATCGAAATACACATTGTTATACCTCTCTTATATTTCAACAAAAATTTAGGAAGTCGTTTGGAGAGCGTGCTAATGGTAGACAATACTCCACCTCTTACGGGGTGAGAGCTACGTCCTGCAATGGTAAGATGTTACGGCAGTGGATACTGACCCTTTCGCAGATCTTGGTATGGACGCGCAGCTTGTCGGAGCGAGCAAACGAGCGGCCGCATCCGCCGCAAGTGAACGGCCGTTCGCCCGTGTGCGTCAGCTTGTGCCGCGACAGATGCGACGAGCGGCTGAACCTTCACCACAGAAACAATACACACATATATTACATAACAAATATATAAAGAATTACGAGTGTGCATGGCAATAGTTGTTCATGCACGGGATTTTCATTTAATGTTAGACATAGACACCTATAAAATATACATTGTAAATCAACTGGATTAAAAAAAAAGTAATTCAATTGAGTTTCTTGTAAGTTTTTCGCAATTAGATCTGCATACTGAACTGGACGGTAGGGATAAAATTATAATATACAAAAATTGACGTTCATAAGCGGTTTCAGTGTCCCACATGAATAAATGATTTTTAAATTTATACTGTATACACTATCTGACCCAGTAAATATTGTATTGCCATATAAATTCAAGTACTAATATCGCTATTAAAAAATAGGGGTTGGTAGAACGGTGCAAATTTTAAGTGGCATGTATTTTTCATTGCCAAATCTAAAATATATTTAAGGATGGGTCACCCTTATTACTAAGGGGTAAAAAATAAAAAAAACATATGGTAAATCAATACCGTCCGAATTAGTGTTTAATTTTAAACATCAAGTAATAGTTGTTAGTACTTGGACTGTCGTGAAACATATGGAAGTTATATCTTTGCGTATGTATGACTGCAAATTATAAAACATTTACTTATTAATTAACTAAACATTGGTATTGAGTTGTTACTAAAGGAAACTCATAAAACAAAATTGGTTAAATACATAAAAACCAATATTAATGCATGAAAATTCTTATCTTTCTTTCAACACAATAAAAACCTGGCTTTACTTATTTATTTTTTTAGTTACGTCATTACAATATAATCTATCATCAGAATAAACATCAGCTCTGATTTTCGTTGTGAAAAGACAACAAACTGACATACACTTTCACATTTATAATATAATATATAATTCGAAACAAACTCTTTTGCTTAGTCTTATTAGATATAATTCTTCGGTGTCTAATGTGTGTTTGTTATCTAACTTTAAGGGTAAAGACCTGGTCAGATTTGGATGTTATTTATTATTATGAGCATCACGCAAGTTTCTTGCTTATTATTCTTGTGATGTGTCTGCGTTCCGAATGAGTGGTAGAATCAAAATAATACAACTATTTGAAATGCTTATATTAATTTTTAATAAACTGTTCCTTTTATCTCATTATTTGGGATCGGTGCAGTATGTCATCCTCATCCGCTGATCTCTATTGGCCGTTATATCTGTCATACTCTACTTTTATAAATATTATCTTTCACACAATCCATCTATCTTTTTTTCAGTTGTCTTCTCCCGTTCCATCCATGTTATTGTTATATACTTTGTTCCCTTCGCATAACATGCCCATACCAAGAATAAAGATTATTCCTATTTTTTATTAGACAATTACCTGAGATCGCACACATCGCAGACGTGCGGGCGTCCCTCCTGCGAGTCGTTGGCGGCGGAGTCGGACAGGGAACCGCTCGAATCGGTTTCTTCCTCGTCATCCATCCCTTTACCTTTCTCTGTAATAAATATATCAGTTTCTATTTTAATAGTCTAGTCTTATAAATCCTTATTATTATTGGCATAGCACTCATATACACATATAGTTATTGATACCATCTCCTCTGAAAAAGGTCTTTGTCACATAATTTGCAATAAACTAGTAAATTAATAGATGAATTTGAAATATTTTAAAGTGTTTGGTTAATATTAATATTGTGGTTTAATATTTAGATATATTATATAAAATGTGACGTCATCAACTTTAGGATGACTAAAATAGCAAAAAATGTCTTGCATTATTAAATTTGTTCGATTGTTACAATGTGACAGGAGACGACCGTGTATGGCGTTAGCTGTTCAGGCCAGTTTCAGTATATTAAATAAATGTATATTGATAAAAATATTAAACGTCTGATAAAAAATATTTGAGTTTCTTGCCAATAACCTCTCAAATGATGATGATGTAGCTAAATGAACGGTAGGTATAGTGATAAAAAACTTTAACGTGCATAATAGGACACTTACGATGCAATGAAGTTATAAACAATATTATTTAAGGAAAAATAGAAAAAAAGGAAGGGAAAGACCAAGACACAATTATGTTAAGCAGATTAAGGAAAAAGTTTGAGTTCTTTCGTATCAACATTTAAAGAGAATGATGGAAGATCGTGGAAAGTGGCAAAAGTTTTCCGAATTTACAAATTTTGAAATTCCGAAAATTTTTTTCCATAGACTAAAATGCCTATTTCGGCCAAACTTACAATGATTTATATTATACTAGCTGTACCCGCGCCTTCGTCCGCGTGGAATGTAACTTTATTTTTCTAAAATAAAAGTAACCTAAATTACTCCTTATTACATCAGCTGCCAGTAAAAGTCCCGTCAAAATCGATCCAGCCATTTCAGAGATTATCCGGAACAAACAGACACACAGACAAAAATTGTAAAAAATATTATTTTGATGTATGTACCGTATTTATATTCATATGCATGTAGTAAAAAAACGGTTATTTCAATCTTACAAGCAGATACTCCAATTTTATTTATAAGCATACATGCATAGATTAAATTATTGTGACTGAAACAAAAATCTTAGCAACACTTAACAATCTCACTAATACCTTGCCAACACTTACCATCAGAATCATCGTGTTCATTATTGGAAGGCTTCTGTAGAACAGCGAGCTGCACTACCTTGATGCCGCCATGTTTCGCTTCCATATCCGATTTAGGCTCATTGATTACGGGGCCTAAAAAGAAATAAATAATAAGTAAACAGCCCTACATATTCACACTGTGCAATTAGAATTAGAAATTCAGAAAATTTTTAGACTGAGCCTGCAACTGCATACCACTGTTTTTTTTTTTAATTGTAATAATTGTTATTTGCGGCGACATTTTTTTAGCCTATTCGTATCCGTAATTATCCGAGCAACACTAGTTTATACTAGCTTTTGTTAAAGCGAAAACTAACCAAAATAAAACAAATCCCATTTTTAGCAGAATAAATGAGTGAAAACTTCACCCAAATAAATAAGGCAAAGAGATTATCGCACAAAAACGCACCCACAAAACTAACAATAATTGTTTTGGTTCCGTTGTTCCGTTCATTGTTCGGTTATATATTCCACTAGCTGTACCCGAGGATACGTCCGTGTAAAAAATATAGCTTGTGTTAGTCTGACTGTAAGATATATTATTGTTAAGTTTCATTAATATTCATTCAGTAGTTTTTGCGTGAAAGAGTAACAATCCATCCACACTCACAAACTTCCACGTATAATATATAATATTAGTAATATTATACTCATATATATTCTTACTATACATACTTATAGGACGTATGGTTTTGCATTACTGTTATATAAAGTAAAGGTATAAGTAATCAGAAGATGATTACGTGTGCTGCTTTGACGAACTGTTAAACTTACGGATGTAAATGCATCAATCGTATATGTTAGGCAGAAGATGGCCGTCAGCCCTTCTATAAGTTCCTCGGGGTTTGGAGTGCCCTCTGCGCTCGCCCCCCATTTTCGTCCGGTAAAGCTATCAAGACCAGCTATGGTGTAAAACTGTCACTGCTATTATTTACTTTAAATAACTTTATTACGTAACCAGGTACAACATTTTTTTCTAAATATTTTCTGATTTCTAAGGCTAAAGCGGGGCCTAACATTGCTATTCCGACCACATAAAATCATGACAAATACTTTGCGTTTGGTAGTTTTAAAAATTACGGGACGAAACTGCTATTATTGTACAAGTGGCTAGTCGTCCGTGTCGCGGTAGACTGACACTTGATCCTGCGACTCCGACTTATGGCGTTGGCTCTCCCAACTGGTTGGATATCTTGGAGGATTTACAGGAGTCTTACAGTACCCGCTTGCCTCCCCCGGGGCAGGTGATTGATTTTTTCCAAGTCAAAAGAAGCTAGTGGTCTTTAATTTTTCAGTCATGACTCACGACACGTACTTTCTGTTTGGTAGTTTATATTTACGGGCCCTAGGTGTATGCCTAGATTGCTTAGGCCTTTATCCACCCCTGCTATGATCATACAATTAGCTAGTTGTCCATAGCTTTGTTACAAGCTGATGTTTTCATAAGCCGAATGTTGTTTTTTCGCCACGTTAGTATAAATGTTCACAGCCATGATGAAACAATGATCGGTGTGGAGTTAATATAAATAAACACAATGTGCTCCACAAAGTTTTATAGCAATCAGAACGTGATTGTGCGAAATTGCCGTGAAAGGAAATTATGGTAAATTATTGTCTTGGCTTTTTATTGTTGTTGGAAAATAGACTTTGATACTACGATGATTATGTATTATAATAGATAATTGTGATGATTATTATTATTTACTATTGTAATAAACGGATAAGTTGTAACTTATACGCGGTGTTTTTTACATAAAATTGAATACTGTAGATTTTACTTTATTTAATACTAGCTATAAACCTTCATCTTGAGTCACTCTATCTAAAAACTGCATTAAAATCCGTTTGGTAGTTTAAAAGATCAAAGCGAACAGACAGCGAAAGTGACTTTATTTTATACTATGTAAAGATACATGATTAGTTACAAACTGTATACCAAGGTGTAAACAAGTAAAAAGCTATAGGAAAAACTTGTCAACAATATGTAAAGCGAAGAATTCAACATAATTTTTAATACCTCAGTGCAATAAATTTAACATGAACATTCTACCTGGCTATTGGCTTAAAATACCTTTATTAAACCCGATTAACTATATAATTTGATTCATTTACTCAAACATAAAATAAATTAATTACTATGTGCTAAAAAGCTGGATAGCTTTATGCATACACAGGGCCGGCTATCTTATAATAACTATATGTTAAAATTAGTACCAGTACAGATATATTATACTTTTTTTACAATTCGCCAACAATATAAGTTCTAAACGCGAAAGTTTATACATTAAGTATTAATGTGCTCTTTATGATTATTATGTCTATAACATAAAAATATAATTAATTCATTCTAATGTTATATTGAACATAATAATAATCTCAGGACAATTCACACAGCGCCATCTAGACCCAAGTTAAACTAGCTAAAGCTTGTGTTATGGATACTAGACAACTGATACAAATACATAGATATTTTTTTTGTCGTAAATACATACATATTATATTATACATACTCATGAATACAATTGTTTGTGCCGTGCGAGGAATCGAACCCGCGAGTCCGCTAGACCACCGAGGTCGTCAGTTCATGTTTTGTTATTTTGTATATGAATGAGAATCAGAAGAAATTTTCAACGAAAATTTATGTTACACCTTGTATATGGTATATCTACTTGTTCTTTGCGGTACATTGTTAAAACGCATAGAATGGTCCATTTAACACTACAAGATGTTATCTAGTAGTGAAACAGAACGCAGGCAGAGAGCCAGAGGCGCTACGAAAGCTTTAACGAGTTTGTACGCATATTATACATATACTGTGTAATATGAATTAATGATTATTCTATGTATGCATTAACAAAATAAATATATATCATATATATCAGTTGTCTAGTAACCATAACACAAGTTCTACTTACATTAGGACTAGACTAGGCCTTGTGTATAGTATACACGGATATTATTATGGTTCAGCGAACAACAAAAAAATGTACTAAAGGGAGAAAAAAGAACAATTTGTTAGTCTGAGAGCACTTCTTTTTAAACATCGGTTCAGGCCGTCGTAACTTTAATCCCCGTTTGACTTGATCAATCAGGTAAATAAACGTCGTATGCAGACATTACATTTACATCTAATCGTAAAGGTGGTGGACCAACCCGAAAGTCACTAATAGTGTTGATGTAATTGAAAAACTTTCACAGAACAATCATAGATGAAAAATGACAGTCCTTATTAAAAAAATCATAAAAATTGCAAGGTCACGTGATCAATTGAGTATGAATGATCCAAAAATTTATTTCCTTTTCTCTATTTTGTTTCTTGGTAATGATATGAGAATAATTCAGTTTCAGGAAAACACAATGTTACCGTAATTATTAAACATTGACGGTGACACAGACTTGTATACTTGTACATTTAAAAATATAAAAATGATTAATGTTATATTATCTGGTTGCGTGTATCAATTTAAATTATATTTATCTTGAGTATAATAAAATTATAATATCAAAAATAAAACTTCCTGGTTGTGCAATCGCTTTAGTATTTCGTCAATTCATATTCCAAGGCTTACTTCATCGATTTATAAATACCACCAATATATATATATTTTTAATCCCATAAAACTATATGTAGAACATATAGTTTTATGGGATTTTTTTGACAAAACTTAAAATGCGTTATCTATTAACAGATCGTTCGACATTTCACATTATTTTTTTTTAAATATCATACCACCAAATTATACTTATAGTTTTTTAAAAAACATGTAACTATTATACATATGATATGTTCTAAGGAATTTCTGACAATACTTAGAATGCGTTATTTATTAACATCGTTCGACATTTGACTACATTACTACTTTTAAATATCACGTATTGATACCACCAAATTATATGTACTTATTTTTTAAAACCCATATAACTATAGTATGTTCTAAGGAAATTTCTGACAATATTTAAAATGCCTTATCTATCAACATACCGTTTGAAATATTTATTTCACTAAAACCTATATTTCTCTAGCCTCAGACCCTTCTGGAAAATATTGTGGTTAACTGCTGATGAATTCGCCATGATGTGCTATTTTACCTGACTTCATGCTCAAACTATCATTCTCAACTCTTTACTGGTGACCCGCCTTGTAACGCAGGCGGATGGACCACTGCATTATTATCCATTAAATAAATAAATATTATATTATCTTCCAGTAACGCTGCTACAGCAAACATCGTTTAATGCAAATCAGCATTATTCTGTCGTGAGAATCGAACCCGCGACCACCCGAAGTAAGGCGAAAGTAAACCGCAAAACCACCGAGGCCCTCTACATAGATACTTGTTTCGATCAAGGCAAGAAAATCTAAAGTAAATTCCCAGATTTCCCATGACTTACTTTGAAGGTCTAATATTGTACTTTCGATACGTTAGTTACAGCATCAAGCATTAGATAATTAGAACATAGCGCGCTCGGATATTTATATTATGTAAATTAAATTTTATTACCTACTTCTATACATTATATTACTTTACGCATTATATATACCTATACCTCGTACAACTAGCTGACCCCGCAAACGTTGTTTTGTCATATAAATATAAATCGCTATTAAAAAATAAGGGTAGTAGAACAGTGAAAATTTGGGGTTGTGTGTATTTTTAAATGCCATATTATTAAAAAATATAAAATAAAGAAAATGTTAGGGTTGGACAACCCTTATCACTTAGGAGTATGAAAAATAGATAGTATCCGATTCTCAAAACAAACTGAATGTGCAAGAAACTTTATTCTTAAAAATCGGTCAAACCGTTTCGGAGGAGTATGGTAACTAACATGTGACACGAGAATTTTATATATAAGATATAAGAGTATATCTTATATATAAAATTCTCGTGTCATAATGTGTGTGTTGTTTACAACTAGGAATTTAATCAAACTTATAAAAATCTGAATATATTTACACTTAATTATAAAGTTATATATTCCATCTACACAAGTAGGTATACAAATTACAACTAATAAAGAACTAGAACAGATATAAAAAAATATATTTAATTATTTATGGTTCATAATTAACAAACACTGGCACACACACA